AGTTCGTGTCCAACTCAAAGGCACTGGAACGGTATTAAGCATATCCTTAGATACCTTCAAGGTACTAAGGACTTGGCATTATTTTATTCTAACCATAACGAGGATGGTCTAGTTGGTTTTGCTGATGCAGGATATTTGTCAGATCCGCACTGTGCCCGGTCTCAAACCGGTTATGTTTTCACGCATGGAGGAACAGCCATATCTTGGAGATCCATGAAGCAGACTATTGCCGCTACCTCATCCAACCATGCGGAAATCTTGGCCATTCACGAAGCTAGTAGAGAGTGTGTTTGGTTGCGGTCCATGACTCAGCATATCCGATCAGATTGTGGTATAGACGAAGATAAGGAGCCTACGGTGATGTATGAAGACAATGCAGCTTGTATCGCTCAACTCAAGGACGGCTACATCAAAGGTGACCGGACGAAGCATATTCTGCCCAAATTCTTCTTCACTCATGAGCTACAGAAGGATGGTCAGGTCAAGGTTCAGCAAGTCCGATCAAGCGAAAATTCAGCCGATCTATTCACTAAATCATTACCGACTTCTACACTCCGGAAGCTCATTCATCAGATAGGAATGCGTAGACTTAGAGATCTACAGTGATGCCTAAACCAGGGGGAGTAATGCGTGTTGTACTCTTTTTTCTTCACCATGGTTTTTCCCACTGGGTTTTCCTGGTAAGGTTTTAATGAGACAACGTTCCCCAGCGCATTATAGAGATCCCGGTTTTGTGACAGGCACGGTTACCTTGTCCAAGGGGGAGTGTTATAAACAAATGGACTTCTAGTAACCGGCCCATTAACCATTAGGTTAATGTCTCATGACCCATTAAGGTTTCTGATGCATTAGTTATGTAATGTATATATACACTGCTTATGGAAATAATAAAATCAGAAATAAGCTAAAACTTCTTATTTATTTTTTTTTTTTTTTTGCATATAGCTAAGGATTTTTCTGGCAAGTATGTGATGCCAGGTTCGTCTAGAAGTCTCCCATCATTGGAAACAACTAATTTGATAAATTGGTATATTCCAAATCCGCCAAAGATTTCAGAGCTATCACATTATTAAGGACAGATTCTTGTTGTTATATCTGCTCTGATTTTCTTATCTTTATGTGGATCAAACAAGTTTTGATGCGGTAAATTGGTTCCTCCCTATTTTGCTTGAGCATGAGAACAAGTGAAGAATATATGCTCCATTTTTTTTTTGTCTTCTACAAGAGTTAAGTTAGGAACATTGATTAGCATGCATTTATTCTGGTTCATTCAATTCAAACCCCGTATATTTTTGTATTTCATTCATATAACTACATAAGGCTTTGAGCGATTTTTGTTTATTGTCACTTATGAGTTAGAAAAACCTCATGATGTTGCTTTGAGCATGAGAACAAGTTCATTATGTGCATATGTCTGAATGTTTTTCTTGATATATAAATCTAAATTCACTCATTATTCTAACCGTGGATATTAATTTTAGTAAGAGACGCGTAACATATGGTAGATAAAAATGGTGATGTTGAGATTTTGGTGTTCAATCTATCTCTTTGGACCCGGCCCGGTTCGGTCTTAAAGCCATAAAGTCTTTAGACCATTAGGTGAAAAATTACAGAAGTGGAAGACGCAGACGTACACAATCGAAAATTTAAGACTCAAGCATAAGCTCCGAAATGCCAAACAATTCCCTCAACAGTTCTTCAGAACTAAACCGGATTTTAATAAGGATGTTGATTTAAGGGTGTCTAAATGGGTTGAAGTTGATGAGCCACCCCAACCCAATACAACTATAAAATAATACGTTGAAAAATCAGTTTTCATTAGAACAAAACTCGACCATGGTACTTTTCGTTAATATATCTGTCAAATCAATGTAACGTCAATAATCGTCCTACGCTTAGCAAACACGTAAAGATAAACAGTATGATTAGTTAACATATTTATTGAATAGATTATAGCAACAAGTACGAACAACCATTTGTAAATTTTTGTATGATGAAATAAACAATAATAAAAGTCAGATCGCATTTTTCAAAAAAAGATGCTTTTATATCCTCCGAAAGAAATAACGCAGGGAAACAGACGAAAAACTGAAACAAAAACCCATTACAAAGAAACGGCCAAGGAGCAATAAGAAGTCTCAATCCTCCTCTTCCGACTCCGACTCAGCGCTCTGGAGCCACTCGACAAAAGGCTGCACCTTTTTCCAAACCGGCGAGCTTTTGTCAACTCCGGTCAGACCCTTTTGGTACCATTCCAAAACAAACTCTTCCTCAATGATGTCTTGATCGTACAATGCTTTAAGAACCAGAGCCACCTCTTTGACCGCTTCTTCGTTTCCATTCTTTCCGCAGAATGATTCGATCGAATTGAGAAGATGCATCTGTGATCCATCCTCTTGCGTTGCAGCCACCAAGTAGTTCTTCTTCTTCGTCACTTCCTTGGCAAATCCTTTGCCCACACCATCAAAGAGTGCAGTGAAGAGTGCGTCCATGACGTCTTGAGGAGGATCAGAGCGAGAGGAGATGAAATTTTTGAGCTCGCTTATCGGTGAACCTTTCTTCAGATGCTCTTTCATCTCCTGCACTAGCTTCTCCAGCGGTTTCTCAGTTTTCACATCTCCGTTAGCTAGGCCTTTGGGCACCTTTTTCTCTTCTTCTTCTCTAGCAGTGAGCATCACCAACTCGGCAGTTGCAGCGCTTAACTGTTCTTTCATTCTTTTCTCAGCGGCTTCTCGGGAAGTATCGGTTTGCCACTGGATATCATCATCGTCTTCATCATCGTCCACTTCCTGCGCAATCTCATCATGCTTCGGGCTGATATCCTCATCAGAAGTATGATTCTTGGACGTCTTAGAAGAAGAAGCATCCTTCCCGTTGGTAGAAGCTTTCTTCTTAGCTTCCTTCTTCAACTTTCTCTGCTCCTCATCGGCTGCTTCGCCTTCTTTGAGTCTCTCCTTCTCAGCCCTTCTCATTGCTTTCTTGTCTTTTGAGCCCTTCTTCGCCTCCGGTGGGTTCTTTAAAATGAATGTTGTCAGTTTATCCCTCATGTCAACCTCAGAGATAAACCCGCAAGCAGCACACTTGAGATTCACCATCTGCGTCTTTGTGATGATAATCTCAGTCTCAGGGTTGCCACATCCATAGCACTGGACATACTTCTTAATGAAAACCTCCAGAAGCGAGGCAAGCTTGGGGGTAGTGTGGGCTCCATTCACAAGCGATGTCCCGGTCTTCTCGTCAAATTTGGACTGAGCACCGAGCTCACAGCCAAAGTACTTGGTCGTGTAAGAAGGAGGCCTCCCCAAGGCTTTGGCAATCTCAACATTGTTGATAATGTTAGTCTTGATGCCATTGCCTTTGCCTTCAGTCTTGGTAAGCATCTTTGGCATCTTGTACCTGTAAAAGGCATCGTTACGGTTGGATTCACCAATGTTCTGCAGCGCCATCTTGAGATCTTGCTAGACGGGGAAAAAGGGATCAATGGCTTTCTTTGAACCGGGAAACTGAGTTAAAGGAGTCTCCGGTTTGAAAATGCGTGAGCCTAGAGTTATGGAAGAACTTGTAGTTCTTAATTCTGGATGTAGGACAGTATTTTCCAAGCAACCAGATAGAAAGCAAAACGGGGAAATCTTGTCAGACATAAAAGAAGCTTCAAATATCCGATTCTGTCTCCACTTGCAGGTGACGAAAAACTGCAAAACCCAATCTCCGGTAAAGCAAAACTCTGAAAGGAACAAATAAGCAAAGGAATTAGACAAGCTATCGAGCAAATTCAAAAGAACCACACAACATCAATGAACGAAATCGATCAATCAGAGCATTACAGTTTACAAACAAACACAACAGGACGACAAAAATTAGACAACGAGACAAGGATTAATCAAAATTCGAAGGCGAAAATTCCGATCTGTGTCAAATCTCAGTCAATAAGGTTCATAATCATCATCAGTTTCAATCGTTTAGCTCACCAGAAACAAAATATAATCAGATAAATGGAGAATTCGACCGCCTAAGAAAACGGCCCAGATCCCTCTAACAACACGCCAGTAGACAAACAACAATCACACGAGATTAAAACAACAACAAAAACAAATATCGAAGAATCTATCGCCCAATAAAGCAAAATCACTAATACGCCTGGAAGAAAAAAGGTACAAGGATCTAGAGAAATACCTCTTTCTTATCTTAGACGAGGTGGAAATCGAAGACACAAAAAGCGATAGATACGGAATGAAGAGTTCGTCGTTTGATTATATAGGAAGAGAGTTGTTGGAGACATTAGGGTTAACTTTTTTTTTTGGGTCAACCACTTGATTTGATTAAAGCCCAAAGAGCAATTATAAAGGTTGGGTTTTAGCCCAACGAATACACACAAGCCCAGAACGAATTATGATATGGGTTAACTTGGGAATAGAAAAGGAAAAACCCAAATTTTATTTTATTTCGACTTTTCCGTTTCAAAAGTATTTCCTTCTCCTCAAGTAATTCATTTAATTTCCATCTGTTTCAGGATTAAGAAAGACCCAATTCCTATGGTTTGCTTTATGTATTTACACTATTGTTCTTTCGACTTTAACTTATTTTTATATTCTCCAATTCAGAAGTATTTATTTCTCCTCAAGTAATTAGTTTCATTACATTGTCGAAACAATGTCTGGTAATATCTTAGAAATATGTTATGTTTTAGACCATGGGTTACTTAAAAATCACACGTTAATATTTTTAGATATTATTAAAAAATTGAAATATTTTTTAAAGAACATATTAACAATTCTTTTATCAAGATATTAGATACCGGTAATTATCAAAACCAAATACTCCTTCTTTTTTTCCCAATTCTTATTTCTTATTTTCTTTTTTACTTTTCCTTAATTTCTTTGAATTAGGAAAGTAGTTACACGTTTAATCCGAGTCAATACTTTGTTTGGTTATAAAAAGGGCACAAACGATTCAGAACTTTCAACCAAACAAACAAGAAAAAAAAAATGAATAGAGAGATTATGAAATCTCGTCTATGTGATCTCAGGCTTTACAAATTTGATGTGCCTTATGAGTCTGATGTCGGCGTTATGAGTCAGTTATGGAGGTTGGCACACCAGTCAACGGTTTCAATTGTCCCGATACACCGGACGAGGAGGACGAAGAAGAGGTTCGAAAGCAGGATTGTCCAAATCATTCGTAGATTTGGTCGGTTGGTCCTTGGCGATGCGCAAGGATTCCAACCTAACAAATCAGACCTTCGACTACATTGTCTCCAATTTCTGTTTCAAGGATCTTGAGGTGGTACCTCCCGCGTGTCCGGTCCTCGTCTTTCACTTTCAAACCAGATCGTTTGGTCAAGATTATGTCCCTGAGATTCACCTCATCACACGTATTGTCCTAGGCGCATTGAGAACCAGAGACTCTGTTCTGGACGTTGAAGATGCGACAAACAGAGTTGTACCAATTGCTCCACCGACGACAGAGATCGTAGATGGTTACCAAAGCTCGGAATCGTGTCGTCTCTGCGAAAAAGGGTATCCGAAAGAAGATGAGATTGTTCACAAAACAAGATGCAATCACATCTTTCACGGAACTTGTATCTCTCGTTACTTGTTGCACACTCCTCAATGTCCTGTTTGCTCCGCTCACTTGCCACCTGTCGACATCCGAACTCTCCTCTTCTCCTGAGATTTTGTGTATATTTTTCTTCTAAGGTTGTTTGTTGGAACATCCAACGTTTTCGTGTTTTTTTTTTTTTTCTTTTTGTTCGTCTCATTCTTATACTACTGAAAGGGATTTTCTTATTTGAACAGTACTGTTGTGAGTGCGTAACCTATATCAGATATTCAGATTATTTAATTTTTCTCCTCTTCTTACGCAATTGGAGAGCTTTCTGGATCAAAGATATTCCAGAGTTCCTCTTTTTCTTTCTTCTTGCTCATGGTTCTTTTAACAAATGTTTGGAATATCTGTACTATATATTTATGAATCTCAAGCTTAGGCAACATCGCAAAACAGAGGACGATCGAGTGTTGGTTTTATTAATTGACCACCTTTAAAAATAAATATAGAAGTTTTTGAACAAATCAAATAACTTCAGTCCATACTGGTTTAATCAGGCATTATAAAAACTTGGAAGACGATTTTTTTTCTAGTGAAATGTTGTTATCAGCTCAGCTCTTACCACGACGTTTTAGAGATGTTTAATTATTAAAATGATCAAAGAGACTCATCTTTTACGATCCCATGTGTGATTAAGGTTTGTGCTGGGATTTCTGAAGTTGCGGTCAGGCTTGCGGTTCATGGGTTGGTAGTAAAGACCAGATTGAAACTGAGTTTAGCAAATGAACATGCACTCCAAATCGTCTTTAAGTTGAAGAATATCAAGAATGTGGTTTCTTGGAATACAATGAGGAGGTTGTGTAAAACAAAATGATTCACATTCTTCATTTCGAGGTTATGTTTTGAGCTTTATCCTTTAGGCGACCCAATTCGAGAAAACAGCCAAAAACAAATATGTTTAGTGCAGAGAAAGATAAGATGACGCCAGGTAGCAAGTGAGTCATGCTCACTGAGAAAGAGTAAAACAATTTGATTGCTGGCTAACGAAGATGTGTCTTTGGGGTCATGATGTATCGGACTTGAAATTGAACTTATTGATGAACGACAACTAGATACTTGGCTCCTTACACTCTTTCAATGAAGCATATGGCTCTCTTGCCTTTTGTTGATAGCATATGTTTTGTCATGTTGAATCCTGGTCTTGGTTGAATCCCACGACTCCATGTGAAACTATATCTAAATCTTGCTCTCCGTCTTGTTCTCATGTTGGTTGTGTAGCTAGACTTTTCCCTACCAACGCTGATGTTGATATGGCTAAGAAATGTTACAAGAACGAAAACAACATATCTGATGTTATATGATGTTTTGTCTTTCTTCTTTTTCAATTTCAAGACATTATAGAGGAGTCCATGATTACAACAAACACAAGAGAACAAAGCCCATTAATCCATGTATCTATTCCATGCATGCTCAAAGCTCAAAGCGATTTTGTTTTTTTTGTCACTTAAGAGTTAAAAAACCTCATGATGTTGCTTGAGTATGAGAACAAGTGAAGAACAAATGCTCAATTCCTCTACTTTATGAATTACTTTTCAGAAATATTGATTTCATAGACTGTTTTGTTTCTGATAAATCAAAAGGTTCCTATAATTTCTTAATCCACCAAAGATTCCAAAGAATGAGTTATCACATTTAAGTAATGTAAGTAATGTAATTTGGAGAGTTTCCTTAAATGATGAGAAGGGTTTTTTTCCAAAGAAAAAAATAATAGACCGAGGGTTTTTTCTTGACAATAAAATAGACAAACTTAGAGGGTTTGTGCTATTTTCAAAATTTTAAATTTATTGTGATAGATTTAATTCAAAAAATAATTTTGTAACATTTTAAAGTATTTTTCTAAAATTAATGCGTTTGGCATATTCGACGGTGTGAAAGACATAAAAGATGCCAAATAAAAGTCAAAAAAGTATTAATAAAAGTCTTATTTGGAAACTTTCTAATTTCATATCACTTCTCATGACAATGGATCACTTGAAATTTTCTCGATTGTGTGTTCCCTTTAAATCTGCCAACTCTGATCTCACTCTCTCTCTTCTTTCACCCTCTCCACGATGAAGCACAAAGTCTCCAAGAGAGCAATTTCCCTCAAATGGGTTCCTTTCCTCTGCATCTCTTTCTTCGCCCTGGGAGCAATTTTCACCTCAAGGTTTCTCAGAATTTCTCTTCGTTTCTCCTGCACTTATCGTCAAAACTTTTCCTTTCTTCTGGTTTTTTTTTTGTTTCTTTCTCTTCGATTTTTGTTGATGGGTTTTTGGTAATTGGGGATTTGTGCGTTTCAGGTCATGGGAACCGTCGTCGGATTCCGGAAGTCAGCTAATTTCTCAGCGCCGTCGTGACCATGAACTTCAGATTGTGTCAGACGATTGTGCTCATAAGAAAGTATGCTTCTCGATTCACTATAGTAGAGTATCATGAAAATTTAATTTTGAAAGTTAGATTAGTGTTTGATTAAACTAAGAGTTGCACCAGTTTAGGGAATCTGGCTTCGGGAGATCCGTTTTTTATGATTAGTTTATAGTTTTCAAGAGTTCAATCGAATGATTTTACCTCTTAATTCTGAAGATAAGTTGCGAAAGTTCATTGTCTTTAGACTTTTCTTATCAAAGAGATTTGGGTTTACGCTTTGGAGCTCTTATGTTTCTGCATCTTGATTTTGCTCATATTCAGAAAGCTACGCAAGAAAAAGATGTGATTGACGAAGTTTTGAGAACTCATGAAGCAATACAGTGAGTTAGATAATCAAGTTCTTTTGCGCTTGGACTTGTCTTTTTTTCTCGATATGTTATTTGTGTGTGTATTTGGACTCTTAACAGGTCGCTGGATAAGTCAGTTTCTACGCTTCAAATGCAGTTGTCTTCTACAAGGACTTCTCAAGAGACGGTTGAAACAACGGGAGCAAACGCGAGGAAGAAAGTGTTCATGGTAATGGGAATCAATACCGCATTTAGCAGTAGAAAACGGCGTGATTCAGTCAGAGAAACGTGGATGCCTCAAGGTATCGCAGATTTAGTGATCCTCTCCTTACTCTGATCTGGTTGTTCATATTTTCGCATCAAATCTAGTGAATATATATATGTGGGTATGTTACAGGGGAGAAGCTTGAAAAACTGGAAAAGGAGAAAGGGATTGTCATCAAGTTCATGATTGGACACAGGTGAAGCTGTTTCTCTTTGTCTCAGAGGTTTGTGTATTCGAGGAATTCATGGAACTGAGGTTGAGATTGACTTGTGTGTATTACAATTGTGTTGGCAGTGCGACGTCAAATAGTATATTGGATAGAGCTATTGATTCAGAATATGCTCAACACAAAGACTTCCTTAGGCTGGTGAGACAATTCTAGATTTCTAAGAAAAGATAGAAGTTATTCACTTCTCTTTCTCTTTAAAGTTCTTATTGGATTTGGTTGCAGGAGCATGTTGAAGGGTATCACGAACTCTCAGCAAAAACCAAAATATTCTTTTCCACTGCAGTAGCGAAATGGGATGCAGAGTTCTATATCAAGGTTGATGATGATGTTCACGTGAATCTCGGTAATAAAAAAAACCCCTGTTTCTACTCGTTTCTTTGGCTGCTCTCTCCTTCAGTGGCAGCAAATCAAAAAGATTTTTAACTTTGCCTTTCAGGCATGCTTGCATCCACACTTGCTCGTCACCGCTCAAAGCCGAGGGTCTATATTGGGTGTATGAAATCAGGACCTGTTCTTGCTCAAAAGTAATTCCATTAGCCTGAGTCCATCTTCAAATCTTTCTGAAGTTGCTGTTAAGAGTAATGTTAAATTAGTAGTTTATTAAACTATTTCAGGACAGTGAAGTATCATGAACCTGAGTATTGGAAATTTGGAGAGGAAGGTAATAAATACTTTCGACATGCTACGGGACAGATTTATGCCATCTCCAAGGATCTTGCCAAATACATATCCATCAACCAGTACGTAATTCTACATCCTCACCAATAAAGAGTCTTCCAGCTTCGTTTATATATTAACATCATATATTTGTTTGTTCTAAAAGGTTAAACCTTTGTCTGCAGGCAAATATTGCATAAATATGCTAATGAGGATGTGTCTTTGGGGTCATGGTTTATCGGTCTTGAGGTTGAACATATTGATGACCGAAACTTCTGTTGTGGGACTCCTCCAGGTAAAGTACAATTAAGTCACACAAACAAATTCAAGCAATTTCTCTCTCCTCTCTCTCTTGCTTCTGATGGTTATTTTTCCTTCTGCTTCACATAGATTGTAGATGGAAGGCGGAGGCGGGCGATGTGTGTGTGGCGTCATTCGAATGGAGCTGCAGTGGGATTTGCAAGTCGGTAGAGAGAATGAAGATAGTACATCAAGTGTGTAGCGAAGGAGAAGGAGCTGTTTGGAATGCACTTCTCTAAAGAAATTTTCAATATCTAAGTGGAGCCATTACAAAATCATACGCTCACACCAACAGGTCACAGCTTTGATTTACAGCTGAAAGAAAAATAAAATAAAAAGAGATTGGAGGAGATGACAAATTTTGTAAAGAACCATAGGTATACAAATTGCATACTAAGGACCTTAAATGCAGAATCTTTTAACATATGAGCAAAAGACTCTTTAGTGTGGCTTTGTTATGAGAGTTGTTGCTTAAGCTTTAATTAGCAGTACAACAACTTTTGCTTTGTAATTCTTCTACTTTTGAGTTAGCTAATGTCAATGTGCTCTCAAACAGAAGCAGGATCGATGTAAACCATCGTGTGCCAAATTAGCAATTAACGAGTGAAGAGAATGCATAACCAACAAAATTTCAGACAAACTATTATACCCTTCTGTCAGATTTTAGACACAATGATGAATATTTACACTTACGCAACCCTTTTTTTCTTTTTTTGCTTTATACAAACAGAATTACACATGATCGATTCTTCTTTATAAGGTCATAGGGAGCTTTTTTTCTCACTACCCTGAATCCAATCTGAAGCCTTTTTTTTCTTTACTCTCAAATCTCAAACACTAGCATAGCCACAGTTTGTTTTTGAGTACCCAAAAGCTTCACAAGGCCTTTTTAGCTGAGAGTCTCAGTCGCAGCCACAGCTCTTTTGTAGCAAATTAGCAATACCATCTGTTCTTTTTTTTTTTTTGTTGCTTTAAGCCAGTTGGTGAATCCTGGTAAGGGCGCAGAAGCGATGTCCACCACTAGCCAGTATCTTAATCAGGGTAAAGAGCAATGAGCCCAAAACATATGTTCTCAAGCTTTACCCGTCTTTACCTGACGGATCACCTGAAGAGGCCTTCTGGTTTATTGGCTTGTCCGATGAAGCCGCCTTCGGGTTGCCCGGCTTGTCTTCTTGCAGGCAATCAACAGGAACATAGAAGTATCCCTTTGGGAGCCGCCGGTTCTTGAACGAAGCTTCATCCGATGTCATCACAAGCTCCTTCGCGAATGTTTCTACATGCTGCTATTATCAGTTATCAAGATAAAACAATTATAAGATCTCATGAATAAAGTTGAGTTGGGCAGAAAGAGTCCAACTTACGATGCATGTAAACTTAGGACAAAAAGTTTCTCCTCACCTTCTTGGGCTTTGAGTCTTTATCTCCATCCTCTGAAACACTAGGTGAGACTATACAATGTTTGCGGGGAACGGTTTTCCCGGAAAATATTTGGCTTTCGGTTGGCTTACGGGAAAACCGACCCTTGGAAGTAGCACTATCGTCGGTTCTCTGATCAGTGTCCATTAAAATGGGACCTTTGCCTCGGCGCTTAACAGAGGCTGTGCTGTCAATGGTGATATCATCTGACCTCTGTATTGCTTCACTGCCAGATATATTACTATCTGGATGACCTTTTATTGATGTTGTCGCTGAGTCCGACGACACTTCTGGAAAAGAAAATGGATTACGGACTGGCAAGGACCGTGCTGCGTGATCCCTTTTGGCAGCAAGTATTTCATGTGAGGAAACAGCCAACTCTCGCTGCAAATATACCATACCAGTGACAGGTCAAGCGCCCATTTGTTTCATTTCAATTATAAGAAGATTTAGGGTTTCGGTAGTTCAACTTACCTTTAACTTCTCCCTCTTGACTATCCGCTCACACAGAAGGCGTAATCTCTCCAGTTCAACCTGGAACAGATTTAGCAAAACTCCAAGAGTTAAAAATAATTTGATACGACAGCAACGAAAAGCAAAATAATTTGCCTTTGCTAAGAACTCCTACCCTATAATGTTTGAGACTTTTCAGCTCCTCTGCCCCATGTTTCTGAGATTCGGCCTGCAAATACAGTCAGACAGATCTAAGCAACCTTATTATGCAAGTAGGCAATCATGAAGATGACTAAAGAGATGACAAATAAGACCTTTGCCTTCTGTTCCAAGCTGTGCTTCTCACAGTAAGCCTTATGTGGAAGTTTCCCACCACCAGTCATATGAAAGCCCGCATTTCTGGCACAGGATGGGTGAAATGTCGTCTGGCAGTTACCATAACTACACTGTAAATAGACAACATAAACTTTTTGTTCAATCGTTGTCCCAACACCTGAAGCTAGATGTCTTCGGATAAATAAAGTAAGAAAGGGTGAGTACCTTAATGCATGCACCATATATCCGTTGGCATATACAACAAGTGTCCGTGTTCTTGGCCAGAGACTCCTAACAAAGCATCATACATTAAGCTTTAGCATTTTTAAACAGCTTGAAGTTGATTCTGATTCTGCATTCTAAAAATATATATTAACCCACCATTCCCTGCACAGGATTTATTTGCCCCCTTCTGAAGGTTGATTCCAAGGACCACTGCAAGAAATTTTATACCAAATTATTTGCAATGTTCATTACTGCAGATAACTGCTGCTGTAGAAGGAAACTTCACCTCAGCACAAAATGCATGTACCCACTGCCCATTTGTGGCCTTCCTAAAAGCCCCAGTTGTGCCAGCACATAAAGTACACTCTGTAGAAGAATACGGTTTTTCCCAAAAATTGAAAGAACCAGTAGATTCCGCACATAGTTCACAGTACCAAGGACCAGTAGATTCTTTAGCACATTTGTAGCAATCCATGTGAACAGCAACCTGTAATTGAAGCTCTGATCAGATAACATACCGTGCATAAAAGTTGTCCCTAAAAGACAAAATCATACCTTAATTAAACACTATATATAATTCACAGGAAATGTCTATCACCTTGCAACTAGAGCACACTACAATCAGGTTCCATATAGTTTCAGCGCGTCTGCAGATGTCACAACTTCGTGGATTTTCTGAAAAGTCTGGTGTACGATGATCAGACCGTTTGTCAGATGGTGGACTGGAAACAGCCATCTTTAAAAGTGTTTCCTTTGTCTGTGGCACTAGGTGAGAGCTGCCAGTCACTTTACGTCTAGAGGTACTCATCTGTCCGATTTAAAACCAACAAGAATGATAAAGGATAAGAAACATGGCACAAATAGAATAAACACACGGAGGAAAAAATCTAAACGTAGCAACAACAACCTCTTGTTGTACAGGTTCTTCTGTCATATCTTTCCTTAGCGATGTATTCCGAGAAGATGTTGCTGCTGCAGCAGTAGCAGCAGCTAGAACAGCCTGGGCTTGTTTGTGTCTTTTCTCTTTCCTACCTTGCTTTCTTGCTTCCCTGACATCATGGAAATATTTTTTGACCAGAACATCATCCCATCTTCGTCCATGCTGTTCATCAATCTCCAGGGGCAGCTTTTTGGTAACTTCATACACTAGATTGTCTGACAAAAGGAACCAATTTCAAAATAACATAAAAGAAATTAAATAGTGCCGAAAACAATGATGAATTTGAACCATGCAAATAACAATGGGCAATAAAATTACCAGATAGTTGCTTTCTTGGAACTGCAGTGCTAAGTAACTGAAGCTGATAATATAGAAGTTCTCCTTCCACTTCATCTTCAGGAGACAGATCCAGTATGCCCAATTTCCTAGCTTTGGATAACTGACAGAATTTGTCTCCGCAATCTGCATTCTGATTGTGGTGGTTACAACAGATAGTGTGATTGCCAGCGTCCTGCAGATGTTTGTTTCCTTCTTCAGGGCCTGCCAAATGTTATAATGTTACCAAATGTCCTAAAAGCTGTGGCGTAAATCACAAAGTCTCTACCATCTGGTTTGTTTATCAACGTATCCACATAAGAATCCTCACTGCTTTTCGAGGTCTTACCCTTGCCCATCTCTGACAATTCTTTACGGATATAAGGATGAGGATTGAAACCAGGATATGGTTCATTATCACTGCAGCACCATATATTAAAAAAAATGATTTAGTAGGCAGAATGTTTATGTAGCCGAGAGAACAATAGAGACTGCCTCCTCATTGTGTTTCGGAGCTTACAGGAGATCCAAGATAATAGGGCTTGGACTGTTCAAATTTCCATTAGTCCCCAAGGAAACGGCATTCTCCAGAATGACTCCAGAAGAACTAGAGTTGGATTGTTCTCCGTGATCATCTACACAACAAATTAAAAATAAGATCAGAAGCAGTTACCATCAACTAAGAAAAGATAAATAATCAAGTGTAATAAACATTGGACGACGAAGAGACATCCTCAATAGAAAAAATTCCAAGCAACTAAGTAAAACAAATTAAGAAAATACAAAATGGAGATAACAAGCATTGAGAATTGCTACATGAGATATGCAAGAAGAAATAGTGAAAAGTTAGAAGAATATACCAGAACGATTAACAGAACTTTTCCCGAGATGAACTTCCTGATCAACAACTACTGATTTCTGTATATAAGAAACAAGGCACAACGCCAAATATCTCATCAGCAGGTCCTTTGGCATGAAAATAAGTATGCAGAAGCAGCTGCGTTTGAACCTTGGTGACAGATCTAGCAAGCCTTTGATAACTAACAAGTAACAACTATTTGTGATGCGAAACATGGGAAAGTACCTGTTCTTCTGGAGAATGATCAGATGCCAAATTCCCAGAACTATCTTTCTTCAAGACTGGCCCATTAGCTTTAGCTTCATCAACCACAATACCATTACCAGTACAATTTTCGGCAGAGGTACATATCGTATTATTATTACAAATACTGCTTTCGGGTGTTCGCTCCAAAGAAAAAGCCTTTGTGACAGCAGGATCTAAGATGTCCGAATCTAACATCACCATATCCTCAGTACAGTTAGCTGCCCGACGCTCAGATATTGTAGTGTTGGTACTTCTAAATTTTTCGCCTTTGTTCCGGGCACCCATGTGTGCATGCTGGTTAAGCCATTTAACTATCTTGCCTAGTAAATCAGGCAGCAAGTCTCCATCCTATAGTTCAAAAATTTTAAATCAATATACAGAAACCCACAATGAGAACACAGAGGTTTTAACCAGGTATACGAGAAGTTTTACGCGTTACCATAAGTTTGGCATTCAAAGCATCAGGATTGACCCCAATCTCTGCAGCCACATCCTTCACATCCACTTTCCCCAGATCGATCAACTAAAAATATGTGAGTCAGTGAGCCAGAGAGTCAACAGGTACAGATAATCCAAAAATTGTAAAGAGTATTCAGACCTTTTTCAGAATCAATCCAAAACTAAGAGACTCGGACAGGGTTCTTTCATTATCGGTGCTTCTCCAAGTCATCTCTGATTCAACATTGTCTGTTGCAGACCAGTTAATATTTGAACGCGGTGATCCCAGTTCTCGCACGTCACTGTTTCTCGAAATATCAGATCCCGGAGTTCCTACGTCAATTCCCATCTCATCGTTTCTTAGGTGACCTTCTCTTACACATTCTGATGGAAGATGACATACAGGAGAACGACTATCAGCTGCAATAATTTCTCCTCCCTCTATGGATCTTCCACTTTCTTGAATATCTGAATGCTTCGAGCAGAAAGCTCGCAGTTCAACCTACAAGTTTTTTTCTTATGTTGTTAAAGAAAAATCAGCACGAATGTCTATGATTCCGTTCTGTAAGTGGTGAAACTTACAGTATCACACCCATGTTTTCCCCAGACCTCTAGCCTATTCCCTGCCTCCCTTGCACATATTGGATGGAAAGACGTTCGGCATGATCCTATGATCAAAAGATTGTTATAAAGTAACAATTACAAATCTGATATCCACCAAAGACTGAAGAATAAACTGAATCAAAGGAAAGTGTAACAAGTAGTTCCATGATGAAGCCATAAATTTGGATAAGTAAATCAAGTAAGAACATAGGGAGCGGAGAAAGGTAACATTCTTTGCCTTTTTTATTTTAGTTAGGTCCAAACTGCGTGCAAGTTTCCTTTCACAGAAACCCCGCATAGCAAAATATTCATATAAGAAAAATAGATCTAGATGTAAAAGATGGTTTCATTCGCGATGCAATCATCACATAGTAGCCTGGTATAAAAATGATAACACTCCATGCGATGAATAATGTCAACAAAGCATTTTCCAGGTATATATGATCCAGACAATTGTGTTATCTGGCGCATGCAAAGCAAGGACTACAATTGTGAGCACAATAATTAAGCCCAATTGCAGGTGATATATAGGCATTTTCAAATGGGCAGATTATGAGCAACCAGTACTCGCTATTTGTTAGCCGTACGTGTACTTTTTTGCACAATTGTCAAGTTGTTCCAAGGAAGAAGCAGCGTAAGTAAATGACCCAAACTATAGAACAGAACATGTCATTAATAATATCAATGATACCCATGCTCAGAAGTAGACTGGATGCACAGAAAGCAACAATACATACCATTACAACACCGAATGCAAGCACCAGATTTCACCTTGCACAAGTTACACAATAACTTCCTCCGAGTTTCTTTTATTCCAGGCAAATTCAGGATAGGCTCCATTTTTTTCAAGTCTTCTATATACACCTCAGGCATCCACAGAGAACAAAACAGATGAGCAAACTCCGCTGGCCCACCATTCTCAGTTTTAGAGAGAGCAGGTTTCAGGATGCCACCCTTTTTGGGACAAAGCAAGCATGGTCTTTCAGAATCACTACGAGCATTCTCCAGCTCACACCATGAGCACAACCACGATTTATCTGTATCTTCAACAACACCATAGCATTTTTTATGAACTGTAGCTTTGCAGGAAGAGCAAACAATCAGCTGGTTATGATATTCCTTGGCCTCACCAGTGCAGCAAAAATCACATAACAACGCATTGCCTTTGCAAGGAGCGGCAACCACTAATTTTCCCAAACCTGCATCACCACCAAGACGCCTCCGCTTTTTGGAGGGCTTTTCTGATGTCAACAAAATCCTATTTCTACAGCCTAAAACCCATTCTAAACTACCAGAATAGTCTGTCCCAGAGGATAATTCATCCCCCACATTGTCAACACTCATTGGCTGCCCACCATCCTCGTTCACCTCTTCTTTCTTTACTGTGCCTTCAGATATCTCTTTGCTAAGAAGGTCTTTAATTTCTTCCAGAACAACGCCTTCTGCACAAACAACATCCTCATTCTTTGCACTCGCATCAGTTTCCCTCTGTTGAATATTAATGGATTCGTATTCCACAGATGGCACTGAAAAGCAGTTTCTAGAAGATAAAGATCGTAGAGATGCTAAATCTGACAAAGTTTCTAAATCAGGCAATTCTACGCGCCTAAAATAGTCCTGATGTTCAACCCAGATGCTCCCAGTTCGCAACTTATCCCCTTGCCTAGAAGACTTCTTCTTCTTCTTATCCGTCCCAGAATGAGACTTCTTATGCCGTTTCTTGTTATCCGTTTGGTTGAGCAAATTAGCAAACACAATGGGTAGAGTAGGCACACTTGCCACCAAAGTGGAGCCATCTTCAGGAACATCATAAGGAGACCTCTCTGAGAGATTTTTGCTAGCCTGAGCTAACAAATCGATTTCCGGCGAACCCTTATCCTCAAAGCCCTTCTTCCCATTTTCCTTCTCAGGCGTAGCCCTGCGAAATGGTCGGCAAGGTTTATCTTCAGCACCACAACCTCCGTCCACTCCCCTACCCATCATCTTCTTCGGCCACTGGCATTGGTCAACGTTCATAACCGACACAAACCACCACCATAAACTCCCGCGCGGCCCATGAAAAGGAACACTTAACCCTAACGCTGAATCCCCAAAATGACTCCGCCTTCAATTTCGTCCTCGTGCACCTCCCAGGTAACGGGAGAAATCAGCCGGTAATCAAAACCCTAACCCTAATTCCCGAAGCCTAAACCTAACCCTAGCCTAGCTCCACCGTACCAATCTTGGCGCCTTTCAGATTAGAACGATAGAAGAAGAGACGAAGAAGATGGATAAAAGCGTGGCTAAGATTAGGGTTTCTTCAAATTTCTCTGGTTCATGTTCTTTCGGATCATTCCCACGACTGGTTCGATTATTTTTCTTTTTTTCTTTTTTCTTTTTTTTTCTTCAGAGAGATTTTCGCGTTATTTGCAGGCAACAGAGGAACGGTTCATTTTCGGCAGAAATTTTTTTTTTTCTTTCACCTTTTTATTCAGAGAATATGATAGAGAGGTGTGAGGCGTAGGGTAGCACTCGTGCACCTCCTCTGTTTCAACACGTGTTACGTTTTAATTCGTTAGATGACTCACGAGATACGAGCACGTTAATTCATTCCACTCTTTCATAGAGCGTACGGATATGCTTTTTTTTAATTTACCTCCCTTTCCTTAATTATTATATGATCCCTCTTTTTGTAGTAAATGGAGATATTGATCATACCTTTTTCAGAAGCTCATTCAGATCCAAATATGATTTCCTTTCAGATCCCTCTTTTTTAGTTTGCTAAGAGATCCCTCTTTTATATTATTTTAATTTTCTGTTTTGGTGCCTTCGTATTGTTTATTATGACGATTCCACTATTTTTAGTACTTGTTGGATTTGCTCTATTTCAAACAAATAAAACCTTGATTTTGATTGATTCACTAAAAGGAGGTCGTATTAATTCCATGTGATGTACATATATGCTGCATGGCAATATGAAAAATGGTTTTTTGAGCCCACTTATTAAAAACTATAATCCATTGTTTAGAATCCTTTGGCTTTAAAATTAATTGAGTAACAAAAGTTAGATGGCCAAACCAGTAGAATTTAGCTGGCTTGGCTAATGCATATATATATCAAGGAGCTAAGGTTATTTCAATTAATTTTATATAAAGGTATTTTAAAACATTCTTTATGAAAAGTTGGTATTGGAACCTCCAAATCTGTAGAAATTAATATAGCTGACGATAAAGTTATGTGGTTATAATAAGCAAAGCTCGTTCACAAACCGACGAACTAGTAAAAAATGTATACATGCTTAATATTTCTGCTTTCGTAAAGTACTTTGCTTAATATATTGCCAGGTTGTAAATTAGTAAGAAGCTATCAGGTCTTGATATTTTTATGTGGGACGATGGGTTTCTTCCACATCTTGGTTCTTGGACCAAATTAGTTTTTCGCATTCCGTTTGGAGTATTAAAATATATCATGTGTGATACAATGTGAATTATTAATGAGATTTTATCTCGTCATCAATCAATAATTTACCCGTAAGTTATCTATAATAGCGTATATAATTTATTAGTAAACATCACCGGAGTATGTTAGAGCATCATTATCCCTAAAATTTCTAATGAGTTTCTTAACAATTTTTTATTATTAATTATAAATTAAAAACTCTTAACAAGAAACTCAATATTTTTGATGGTTCATTGCAAAACCTCTAAATGAGTTTCTAAAAAAAAAAAAAATTAATAGTGAAGATTGGTACTAGTGAGAAGAAGCAAGCAGAGGGAAGTTTTAATACCTCATGTCATGTTTTTCTAAATAGACATGGACACACAATCTCCAAATTGCATTAGTCATTTATACAAATGTTTTTTTTGTTTTTTCAATCTACTGACAACACCTTTGTTCACAAGAAAGACAGAGTTTGTGACATGAACAACCATTAAAAGGAAAACTCAGATGCCTTGTCAATCGTATGACTTCCATCTTTCTATCACTACGTTGAACTCCTCATCTCTTCTCCTTACCTAGAAATCGAAAACCATAGTTATAATAGCCTACACAAGTCAAATCAGTTCCCTTTACATCTCAACCGATCAACCATCATTATGTATATTCAGTTATTGTGTACCTCAACCATGGGGTTTCTTCCTCGAAGCAACATATCAACACTCTTTTCAGTCTGCACAAGAGTAAGCCAAGAATATATTGAATGTCAAGAAGATAGTGACTGCAGAGGCAAGAACAGATTTGGTGAAAAAATCAGTAAAGGGACAAAGAACATTGAGAAAAAAAGCTGAAGCAAAGGGACAAATATAACATTTCAGAACAGCAATTATTACCAAGTCTGAAAGAGTAGGATTCTTTATGATGTTCTGGAGCTGTTCTCCATGAGCAGTGCCAATTAGCATCACTCCCCGCTCAGCAATGGAACGACAAGCAAGCGCCTCAGCTTCTGTGCCGATCTCATCAACGATGATCACCTGAAACATATGGTTCTCTACTGCCTCGATCATCACTTTATGCTGCAAAGATGGCTTCGGCACTTGCATTCTATGCACCTACAATCGCCGAGTGTGGAATATCGCCGTCTCCTCCTATTTCGTTACTTGTATCAATTATCATCTAAACACACATTGCACATACTAAATCACTTTTTATCAAAAAGAAAAAACCAAAACCTTTCAGGGCTAAGAGAAATATAGAGGAAGGACAAGAAGACCCACCACTCTTTTTCTGGAATTCATCGGACAAGACACAAGCAATCTCTAGCAAAACAGTGGTCTTGCCAACACCAGGCCTTATGATTAAAGAGGATATCAAATCACCATCAAATTAAAGAGGATTATCATCCAGGTTCACTGAGATAACGTGCGTCAGGTGGTCTCCCAAGTCTGTAATCACCTAATTGAAGATTCAAATCATCATTTTTCTCAAAACCATCATTGCCAAAGAGGAAAGTGAAGAGTAACAAACCTCTACGAGCTGGTTTTCTTCGCGAATCGTTTATGAGACGGTGACATAGATCTCGGGGCGTCATAGGTGTATCGGCTTGGAGGAGACGGGCATCGCGTCGGAGATGTGGACGAAGATGAGGATGAATCGTCGGTGGAGATGATTTGACCGGGAAATGGTCGAAGAATGAAGAGTCGGAATCTGAAGAGGAAAAATGGTCAAGAATTGAAAATTTGGCCGAGAGATTTGTCTGTCCAATAGATTTATGACACGTGTGGAATAAGAATCGTTTCTTGCAGATCCCAAATAAGAATCGATTTTTATTAATTTTGGGCTTAAAACATTATTTTATTTGTTTTTTGGGCTAAGAAACCTATATAAAACTCTGCGATAATGATGGTCTTACGGCCGCAACGGCAACAATCTCCCGTCGCCGTCAGATACAGTAGCTTTATAAAAGAGCAACAAAAATCGACGCCATTCGTATGTACGAGGCCCTTTGTCGACGGTGGCGACGGAAGGGAATCCACCGTACACGAGCGTGGATAATGCTATGGCTTACAATATGGGACTTCGGGCTTGTGGTGGATCTACGCAGATACGGACGCCTCGCCGGCCGGAGACGGCCGTGGATTTGTTTCTGTTCGAGATGTTAAAGGAGGATCAGAAGCAGGGTCCGGTGGAACAGAGTTTTGGAATCTTCGCACCTGATATGACTATTGACTCCTGTCTATAACCTTTGTTACTAGAATACTAGTGTTTAAAACTCTTTTATGTATAAGTGTTCAGTTTTTCACTTTAAAAACCAATTCAATTTTATATTTTCCCATTTTACGCTATATCGTATGATCTTACAAATTAATAAGCTAGAAAGGTAAAGATATGTCATAGACAAATCAATAGAAAAATAAAGAACTATTTAATCCAAGCTTTAAACGCGCTTTATTGAAAGCTGAAAATAAAAGTTAACGATGGTTCGATACAAGATAATTGAATTTTTTTGCCGGTAGGTGGAGTGGTGGACAAGATATTGAAGTTTTTATACATGACATGAGTAAGAACCAAAACATGATGATCAAGTCTTGCATATCAATATATCATTGGTTTCAAAATTTTCGATCTTTTTAAAGGATTTAGTATAGCTTTGGATTGAATAGCCCAATATTTTGCAGATTTTCTTAACATTGTAGAGATTTTTATGTTATTTTAAACATTTTTAATTTACCTTTTCAAACAAAAAGTTTTTAAAAAATCTTAAATCTAAAGCCATCTTTACTCTTTAGCCAAGATTTCATGAGGTAATTTAATCAAGTTCTTTTAATGTCATAACATTTTAACTGTACATGACAATAAAAATACAAAACAAGATATAAACGTGCTCAAAAGTTCCTACAGTCAAAAGTTGCTATGTCCCATTTACATGTCATTAATAATATACATAAGATTCACTAGCACATTTTCTTCGATATTACTTCATTACATATTTAATCAACACCAAAGATAGATCACAATAGTAAAGTCCACATAAACCACAAAACATATATATACACAGACAAACAAACTAACATATGCATGTATACCAAAATAAAGTAGCAAAAACATGAGCAACATAATGTTCCTCGTAATCACTCTTCTCTTTCTTTCAACCAGATCAACTGGAGTCGTCGGAGACACTCTGTTCGCTGGAGTTTGTGACGGTAGAAACGGAGACAATCTTCCATCTCCGACCCAAACAATATCTCTTTACCAGAAAATCAACATCGGTTGGATAAGACTGTACGAGCCATTCCCTGACCTCCTCAACTCCTTACAAGGAACCGGTCTTCTCGTAGCCGTCGGACCAAAAAACGAAGAGATCAAAACATTAGCCGATCAATACGAGTACGCCGTAAATTGGGTCAAAACGTTTATAGCACCATACAACGTCTCTTTCAATTGGATCACGGTGGGAAACGAAGTGATCCAAAGTGAGATCGGACGGTACGTTCCACAAGCAATGAGACATATAAAAGCTGCGTTGACCCAAACCGGAATCTCAAGAACGATCCACGTCACCACGGTCTTATCCACAGCCGCGCTCGCTAACTCTTATCCACCATCAGCCGGAGTATTTAAACCGCAAATAACCGAAGTTTTAACCGAAATCGCATCGGTTCTAAGCTCTACTGATTCACCACTCATGGTCAACATATACCCTTATTTCGCATACGCGTCTGACCCTAGCCACGTGTCGTTAGCGTACGCCACGTTCGGTTCAGATAAACCGGTCGTGATCGACGGGAATTACCAATACACGAACATATTCGATGCAGCTGTGGACAGTTTCAACGCGGCGTTGGAGAAACTCGGACACGGAGGTGTGAAAGTGTACGTGGCCGAGACGGGTTGGCCTACGAGAGGTAACCCTCCGTACACGAGCGTGGAGAACGCACGTGCGTATAATCAGGGGTTGCTTAAGAAACTTACCACGGGTGCTAGGGCTACGCCGAGGCGGCCTCAGGTTCCTGTGGTGACGTTTTTCTTTGAGATGTTCAATGAGGATTTGAAGCAAGGAGAGGTTGAACAGAGCTTCGGATTCTTCACTCCAAACATGGTTCCTGTCTATGATATGTGGAATGTTAAGTGTCTCTAGCTAGGAACAGAGAAACCCAAATCCTAGTTTGGTCATTTGATCATCTAATCTGACCGGAACATATAAAAACATCGATACCAGTTTATGTCTTATTATTATTTTTATATTTTTTTGAATATCCATTTGTTTTAAATAATCACTTAACTATGTAATCGATTTCCCTGATGTAAATCGATTCCTTCGTGTGCTCATCTTTGTATGGTTTTGCTTTTCTGTTTTTTTAGTTCTTTTTGTGGCTCTGTTTAAGAGAACACTCTTTATGATTCTGCCATCTGCCTTTTAGTGGGCTTTTCTAATGCAAGTCAGATGGAAAAAAAAAACTATGTACAACCCGATTTGAATTATTTGAACTTGTATTTATAGTTTAGGTAAATACCCCCAAAACACCCTTCAAGAATGAGTCATTTCTATCTTATATGGATACAATAGTTTCTGTAAAATATTATTTAAACTTTCATCTCTGAATATCAGCTTATATAGATTTTAAAATTTGTATAATTTTTTTTCTTAAATTTGATTATATTTCAAGCTACTCCAAACGGAATAAATATATAATATTTAGAAGACAGCATCTTTAGGAGATAAATCTAAAGCTTCAATAAAGACATTACTCAGCACTTCCCGTACAATATCAAGACACTTCATCTTTACTTTACGATAGTTTTATCAATTCCTTCGTTGTATAAGTAAGCTAGAAACCTGGAATTTACTTATAACCTTGTGCCTTTTAATATAAAAATATGAAAGTTTAGGAAAATACAAAAATGATCTTATCACCTAATCCGAAATTTCTAAGTTCAAAACCAATGGCAAGAAAGAAAAAATGTTGGCCTCTGATTAAGAGCGGAAAGGGCCTAAAGGCCCATTATATCAAACACAGCGAGCATATCGTATAGCGAGAATTTGGATGAGAAAAACGGTTGCGTCAAAATGACGACATTTGGAATCTAACCGCACAAGTTTTAAAAAACAAAAGAAAAAGAGAGTCTCAGGCTTTGTTTGCGTACGTCAATTCGAAGAAGCAATCGGTTTTCCCTTTTTTTGAACATCCTTGAAGTTCGGAGTTCTCTCCTTCTCCGGCAACCACCGTGATCTCCTCTCCTTCTCTCCGGTACTGTTACCTCGCGCCTTCTCCGCATCCATCAACCTATCATATTGTTGAAATTCGCCAATCTCGTTGTCAAAATTTCTAGATAAGATTCGCTACTAGTCTCGGATCTTCCATTTCGGGAGAGAGATCTATCTTAGATTCTCGATTACGATTCCGTTCGAGCGAGATCTCGAGTCATTGTTTGTGTGGTGTCAAACATTGAACTGTATGATTCGTCTCGATCTTATATGTGGATCGAAAATCTGCTCTCCCATTGATGCTTTGCTTAAATTTGCATGAATTGTTGATTTGAATTGCCATAATTGCTTCTCCAGATCTGGATTTTTTTTCATTTTCATAATCGTGTCTTTGCTTGTGGTTGCTATTTACGGACGCTCACTCTATTGCGTAGAAGTAAAACTGTAGTTATCTGGTAGCTTATCCATGACTTCCTGATCCAGATTTTTGGATCCGTGATCAATGGCTATTAAAGAGCATTGCTACTGTTTGATTTGATGGATTAAAAATTTTCTCCAATCCATGATCAACTGGTCGTTTAGAGTGCTAAATTTTGGTTGTTCCTCACCAACTCACATGGATCTTACGATTGAGTTTTTTCTGTCTGGTTTCATTGGCTTCACAACTTGCACCACACTAAGTAGAATTCTGTGTGATGGTCTTATTCACCCTCTTGGTTTTGTTGTGCTGAATAGGTTTGATTGATCGAATGGGGAAAATCAAGAAAGTGAATCGTAGGGCTCACATTGCTAGTCCTTATCCATCACCACCGTCTTGTTGCAAGAAAGAATGGGCAGGCTCAACTTGTCCAGTATGTTTGGAGTCTCCACACAATGCAGTTCTTCTCTTGTGTTCGTCCTATCACAAAGGCTGTCGTCCCTACATGTGCGCAACAAGCAGCCGTTTTGCCAACTGCCTTGACCAATACAGGAAGTCTTATGGCAACGAAGACTCAGGACAACCCGAGCTTTTGTGTCCGCTATGCAGAGGTCAAGTGAAAGGTTGGACTGTTGTGGAAGATGCGCGTGTGCATTTCAACTCCAAGAGGAGGACTTGCATGCAGGAAAACTGTTCCTTTGTAGGAAACTTCAAAAAGCTCAAGAAACACATGAAGGAAAAACACCCACATGCTTGCCCGAGAGCTGTTGATCCAGCTCTAGAAACCAAATGGAAGAGGCTTGAGAGGGAAAGAGACAGGAGAGATGTGATAAGCACGATCATGTCATCAACTCCAGGTGCTGTTGTGTTGGGAGATTATGTCATAGAGCCGCATAGCCGAGCTGTTTATGATGAGGAAGACGATGAAGATTACAGTTCGGATGACTCTTTGAGCAATGGCATATTGGATCTAGATACATGGCACGGACAAAGCCATCATATACGTTTTATCGATATGGAGTCAAGCGACTTCGCATCATCTTCTCGATCCCCTGCTTCTCCAAGCCGTTCGCTTCGCGGTTTGCTCTTCCCAAGGAATCAGAGGGGCGGCAATAGAGGTCGGTAACTTTTGATTTGACCAAAGCAAATGCATGATCAATCTCCTCTGCATATTTCTCAAACTCTCTTCAGCATTACAAATTGACTTCAAACTTGCAGGAGCAGTATAAAAGGCTAACATGACTAGCCAACTAGCCATACAGGGAATTGAAAAAAAAACTCACAGTCGTCCCTTTTCTTTTTTATTTATTTTTCATGTAAATTATGTGTTCTCTGTAATTGTATTCTTGTTTCTGCATTGTTGTACTCTAATGAGGCATGATCTCTTATGCCTTTTTCTTTATTTCCTGTTTTCATGTATTTAATTGATTTTCATCTTCCTTAAGTTCTGGAAGAAAAATAAAAAGGTTATGTGAACAAAAAAAGAAGAAGATTGTAATTACTCCCTACTGTCAACATCGGACAAAAGTCCGTTTATTGATTCTTGTTTTGTCTTCATGAGTCTCTTCTACTTCGTACGCAGCCGCGCGATAATCCTCCGACCACATGTTTAAGCTTTTTCTTCATTCGGAAAACAGTAAACAAGATAAATAAAGAATGTAGTTTCAATTTGAAACAAGTCGTATAAAAAAAGAGATAAATCGGAACACGAAGTACCCAGATATCTGAACTGTAAGCTTTGCTCTTTGCTTCTCCTTCTTCTTCATCTGGAACAAACTGGCGATATCTCCACGTCCTATTTTTCCGACGAAATGGCCGGAGAAACGGTAACCGGAACTTACTCATCATCTTTGGTATCCACCTTTTTTTCTTTTTCTGCATTATGGTTTAAAACAAATCACTTTACGGACAAAAAATAATGTTTACACTTTACAGAGGCTACTACTCTAAACTCTAAAGCAATGTCATAAGTTGGATAGTCCATATCAAATATCAATAGTCAGGTAATTCAGACGCAACTGCTTACTTGCTCTCTAATCTTTGCGTATAAAACGCAAGTCAATCAATTTTAAGGTACGCACATAAGTCAATCAACCCAAATCCGGCCCATAAAAGCTCGTTATGTCAACTGAATTAATAAAAAAGGAAAAAAATCGTAAGAAATGAAAATCAGAGAAACGTTACCTTCGGGTTCGGCCGTTCGGATGTGATGTCACTCTCTACGCCGTCGCATTTCGAATCTCCGGCGAGACTTTCAGCCCTCAGCTGACGAATGTACGCTAACAGATTAGCTCTCCGATCATAGCCACGTGTCCTTCCGATGTCACGCCTCCACGTCCTTTCATTTTTCCGTCTCGCTCGTAACGATCGGACGGTCGTCATTTCACGATCAACGTACACGGTGATGATCACACCGAACATAATCCTCGGATTTTCATCTCCCATTTGCTTTCTTTTTGAGTTTTTTTTTGTTTTGGGGTTCTGCAACTCGAATCGGGATTTTGCTGTTAATTAGGAGAACGCAGCAAATCAGGCTAGAGACAAATCTCTTTCTTAATCAGAATGACACGTGGCAGTATCTCGTGCGGCTTTTTTTCATTGCAAGTTTAACTACTCCACGGTCAACGATCTAAAATGCTGACTCATTTATGAATTATCAAAATGAAATTTAAATAACTAACATGTGTGTAGTGGGCCTATGGGCTTATGGTAACAGATATCGTCTTGCATTACATTGGGCCTTACTTAGAATTCTTTTTTGACGCCAACAAATAACAGATGATTGATTATGAAAGCAAATCGACAGTGATCATTAGCCATTGCCTAATGACGAACTTTGCAATTTGTTTGATTTCCTATAGTTTAAGATATAGATACGATGCAAAGCGAGAGTCTAAAATGTTATTAAAATGCTGACAAGAATCTCATAATTATCCATTAATAAAGAAGAAAATCATTATAATAATTTGACTAACAACAATGTTCCATAACTGTATGATTACTATAAAAACTGCATCTTTATGGTTAAATAAATAAGCAAAAAAAATGTAATCCCTTGGACCACTGCTTTATGTGAAACCATCAGGGGTTAATTCCAATTCTTTTCCATAAAACTAAAACACTTTAACTTAGTAGTGCGTTGATTGATTATTTAAATGATGATAATAATTAGTGTGGCATCTTTCCACTTCACAGTCTTCAGTCTTAACAATAACAAGTTTTTTTTATAAAAAAGAAAATTAAATATTGCAATAAAAGCAACAAAAATAAAAATACAGACAGAAAATTAAGGGGATATCCAGGGGAGGCGATATGCGGTAATATGACCCTTGCCATTGCGAAATGTGAATGGTATAATATAGCTAAGCTTTCTCGGATCTGTTCTGATTTCCATGCAGAAATTTATTATTTTGTTACAATATTTTAATATTATCTATTTACTCTTGTTGCATCTAGTGTCTTCCCTTTTCGTTTTTTTCTTCCTCTTTCTTATAGCAAAATAGCAGATGTATTACAATGTGCGTCCAGTGCGGTAAATTGACCTGGAGAATTTTGGGCCTTGCAAGTTGCAACCATTTGTCACTGCATGATTGCATATCTTTTTCATAATATTTATTTAAAACATATTCTGTGAAAGTTAATATAGTTTCTCTTAACAATTTTTATCTGAACTTTTCATTTAAAGTAACTACTACCAAAATTTATTCTATGGATTTTGAAATTATATGTAAATTTGGCATACCAGGTTTAGATTTCTGAATCATTCTAAATATTAATATTATTGTCAAAAAGAAAATTTGTTATTCAATAGTTTGATTGTTTGTGGTGAATATAGTATATATAACCATCTATACGTTGTCAATGTATGTGGCACATTGTTTCAATCCGCCAAAACCATTGTTATTTGATATTATTTTTTAAAATGACGATTTGGAAGGATTATAATATGAAATTCTGTGATTACTTCCTTTAAAAGGGTTGTTTACATTGAAATTTATGAATCTTTTTAGCAACAAAAAAAAACTTAATGAGTCTTGGAACTTCCATTATAAGATGGGTTCTTAACAATTTCTATTCTTTCTTATATATTATTAGACTAATAAACTTATTAGATTGTTTTCACTTTTTTCATTTCATACAATCCTCTACCCTTTACTTTATTTTATAACATCTAGTCATTATTCTTGTGAACTTAGTTTCAGCTGAAAACTAGCTCCGAGTACGATTCAATAATATACCGTCTATACGTCCAACTTAAACAAGTGCCATATTATTTAAACACAAACTTGATATTGACTATAAACAGTACAGTAAAGTGTCAATTATACCAATATGATATCATATGGGTCAAAAATATACCTCGCCGTTTGTGTTTGGTGTCTGTCAAGTGGTGCATATATTGGAACATTTAACTCTAATAGTTATTTCGTTACACACATTAAATATGTTATATGATTTTGCTTTTAGCCAAAACAACAACACAACATGAAAACAACAACAACAAGGGGGATTATAATTATGATAGTTGCAAATTGCTCTCATAATCGCCAGGATAATTGTGTTTGAATTGACGGTAAGTTAATTGAACACACGATTGGGATATTTTGACCACTGCGTAGTAACAATGACACAATTCTATAGAAAATGGATTGATTTCATTTCGGTTCGATGTTTAGGACGTGAATATATTACAGTTTCTACATTCTGTTTTCCAAAAATTGAAGATATTTCTATACTAAATTTCCATACTTGAATTTCTTTAGCCGTCGAATAGTACATTCTTAAATAGCACAATATGGGTTTAAAATTAGATGATACATGTTAAATTGTTAATACAATGTTTCTCTTATAACCAGAATTAATATATATGAACATTAGGAAAAAAATAAACGTAAATGCAGTGAAAGTGGCTCAAAGGGTCACGAAAGGGTCGATGTCTCCCTAACCGTATCAAGCTCCCCCAGTTGCCTCCCTTCCTTTTTTTAATTTCATTTTTCTTATTTTTGTCTGTAGCAAAGTGAATCTTAACTCTGTAAAACATTAAAAAAGTAAAAAGTATTGCCAGAGTAAATTACATTGGTGAATCATTTTCAATGCTATATTATATTAGATTGTTATTGAGAAATTATATTATAAGCTAAGAGCATGTACAATGGGAAAGACACATAAAGGTCTCTTAACTAATTTTTTATTATTAAGATGGGTTTGAAGACCCAATTAAAAAATTTGCATTTTTATGAGGTCCAACGGAGAAATCTAATTAGATTTCTAGAAATCGGCGGCGAAGTACATCCTCTGCGACGCCTTGTTACTGCAAGCTATGGATCAAACATTTCCCTTCACAAAAAGCGCTTCTCCCTCTCTCCTCTTTCTCCGACGCTTCGTCTCCGCCGAAACCATCCACTTCAGCTCCGAAATTTCACTTCGATGCCGACGCAATTCGAAGAGTCTCCGATAAACAGATCTCACTCCGAGTCTCTGTCTATTCCGGCCGTACTGGCGACACTTGCAGCGTCGCATCCGGTAAGCTTCTAGGCAGAGTCGAAGTAACAGTGGATCTCGCGGCTGTGCTTTCTAGAATCGTCGCGTTCCATAGCTGTTACAAGAAACTCGGCGGAGAAGGAGACAACTGATTCACGACTTGTCTAGATTTATTTTAAACCCATTATAAATGTTTTCTCCTCTGATTTTTGTTTTGTCCAATAACATTAAGCCACGTGTAATTTAGAGACGTCTCTTGCATCTCCTAAATAAGAGACTTTTTAGCAAATTATTTCCTTTCTGATTTAGTTAAATGCAAAAAAAATCTAAGAGACCCTGCTAAATACCCGGTTGCACATGCTCTAACTATCTGTTCATGATCGTGAAAAGTGAAATCCAATTTCGAACGTATCGATTTAATTAAAGATTACGTGTGGCAAATCTCCATATCATATCTAGTGGTTGTTATTACACTAAAATAGGGACAAACCTGTATGTTGGAGGCTTGGAGCTAAGCTATATTGCCGACGTCAATAAAAAAAAAAGATGAAGCTAGCTTGTGTTGTGTTATGGTATATTGCGATATTTTGCATTATCTGATTTATTTGAAATTGTATAATGACCTGTGGTCCATCATATTTATGGATCATATGTTAATGATTATGATGTTGTCCGAGTACATGATATTAGTGTAGTTACGGTGACAGATTATGATACAAGCCAGTTTTGATTGTGTTTTTGTGTATCTTGATTTTTCGGCATTTGCAATTATGTTTCGTTACGTTTACCTAGTTAAATAGTTTGTTAGTTTGTTTTCTTTCAAATAATATCACAATATTTGCCCTTCTTTGTCTATTTTATCAAAAATCTTTTACAAGTTATAAATACAAGGGGAAATGCTGATGACCATAATATTCTTTGTGCTTCGTGTTTGCGTTACAAGGTATACAACTTTTAAAAATTTTACTTTAAAATTTATTATATTAACTAAGATGCTACTATCACTAGCAGTTGACAAAAAAAAAATTCACGTTAATTACAAAATTTGTTCTCTTTTAACGAAAATTAGGAAGTCCTCAATATTTTTTTTTTAAAAAATATTTTTTAATACTTAATGAAAAACAATCGAACCTATTAAAAAAATACTAAATACAACATAGCATATTAAAAATATATTTTTACATTTATACGTATAAAACTCAAATGAAATGAAACAAAAAAAAAATCCTAAAACATTTTATATAAATGAACAGAGGAACTAGCTAGTATTTATAGTAACTAGTTTATATCTGCATTGTAAGTTTCAAATTAATACGTAAGTGAATTGGATATTTTGAAATATTATTTTTTGTAACAACTAAACTATTAATTGATAGACTTTATAATATTTTAATCTAAAACTATTGATTCCAAATGTTAACAGAACTTATGATTGATAGTACTAATACAAATATACAAATTAAATTGATCGAAACTGTACTTAGTATATTAATTTTAATTTTATAATGCTCTATTCTATTGGCTTTTTATTTTATTATTAGTAATATCTACCAACAATTTAATTGATATCTAATACATTCAGTAGGTGTAAACTAAGACCACATAATCAATTTAGTTTTGATATGATTTTCAAAATGTTAAATAGCTTGACGATTTCATTAATCTCAACACTTGACTACCAGTCTACCAGTTATTATAAAAATAAACATATTGTAAAAGACTTCTACATATAGAGATGCTTTTTTTTTTTGTTTATTGAAAATTTTGCATAAAATGAGGTTCGTATTTCACTATTTTATAATTTTATTTGTTATAATATGGCATTGATGTAGTTGGATACGTTGCGATTCCTCACTTTCTTTGGGGTCCAAAATACTATATTTCACGGATGACCAGCGAAAACATAAAAAGGTTATCACTCGTCTATGCACCTTACTTGTACCATTGACAACACCATCAGAAACCGAAGTCTATAATCTACGGGTTTAAATCGTATTCAAAGAAAAGTAGAAAACTCTTGTTACTATATAATAAAAAAAGTTGCAGAATTTGGTCAAGACCAATAACTGCTTTGGCGAAAAAGCAGATCATGAAGCAAGAAATTGAACCAGCGAATTGTTCAAAAATCAGAGCACATACAAAGTTCGCGAGCTAGAAGTTGGACCAGCACGAGAAAAGTTACTTATAATGCATATTCTACAAGTTTAAGTTAAATGTATATGTAGTTGATCAGTTTTAGATATATCTGAGGGTAAATTTTAGTATTCGTTTAACCAAAATGAACAGAAAACAAAATATTATTCCAGGTGATATAAACAGTTTGAAAACAGTCTCTATGGAGTAACAAGCTACCATTGATAACGATGTTGAGAATAGATTAAAGAGCTACAAAAAAAAATGATTTAGATGTCATTATTTTCTATAATCAAAATGATGCACAGAAATCAAAATGCAGTTAAATATTCCAAGCTTAAAAGTAAATCGAGACTATTTCCAAGATTTCTCTTCAAATAAATGTAAGAATATATTGATTATTTAGAAGCTTTTCCATGCATTTTTTTTTTGTTAAAAAAAAAAACTCAAACTTCTCCATGTACGCTACGCCGTGCAAAGTTGATTATTTGTTTTGAGGCTTTTAACCAAGATTGACTCTTGAATTGATTTCATTACGTAGAATGTAAAAGATAATAATAAGTGGGTCCATATGTTCTTACACATGTATCATTATAATTATAATGTAATATTGAAAATCCAAAAATATTATTATGACCCGTCCCCTTTTATGGTTGCCCCGTTCGTGTATTTGCTTGGCCGTTGGTGATCCCATGCGCCACTTAGCCTCCGAAGTCTTCTCTCTAATCTCCTTTTTATGCCTGAATGTCTAGTTAGTATATACTTAATTGCGCTTTATCTTCTTAATCGTCATGTAATCCATAAAAATCTTCGAGATATTTACTTTCTCGACTTAATTAATATGTTTTCTTCAATATTAAACAAGTCAACAATATGCCCATAGATATATGTTTATAGCTACCCACCGGATTCTCATTTTCCATTTTATTATAGTTACACTAACGACGTTAATTTTAAGAATTTAAAGTCAAGATAAACAAAATATATTTGCGAATACCCCTTACGGGTTCTGTAGACTGTAATCTATACAACCACACCACACATGATGCAATATGATCTTGAGTCCTATGTCCATATTAAGCATTCACTAACGTACAAAATTTTGACCCAAGATATAAGCAGGTTTACGTGTTATTAATTTGTCATTAATGTAATCGCATCATATCAATTACTAAAAACGAAAGTTCTTTGTCATATATATATATATATAATATATATAGATTAATTTTATAGTTCTTGCTATGTACAACGTGTGCATATTGCTAGCAGCCGGCCTTGAACCCAAGCAAACTAAGCATGGGCTTGTGACCCCTATATTTACATGAAAATTTTTAAAGATAAAACAGCCCATTTTTTTAAAAATATGTAAAATAGCCAATTTTTTGTTCTATAGCTTGCGGCCCATGCAAAAAATATGTAGTTCAGGGCCGACTCTGATTGCTCGTAAACTATTTTGCTGCGGTGACACATTAATTACACAAAGAACAATTTTAGTGGTCAGATTGTAAATTTAAAAGTTTGATTTTTGTTGTATCCACAAATTAAAGGACCATTTTATCGAAAAAAATATTCGGTGTGTATATTGAATTCCAGATAAATTTAATTTTTTTTAGCCTATACTTTTTACTGTTTATATAAAAATAAAATTGTTGTCATGGCTAGAGAAAATTAAATAGAAGGGAAAACAGCTTAATTGTTCTTCAGCTATGGTCATGTACAGACAACAGTAATTAGTACTCAAATTAGGAAACTACTGTATGCAAGCATGATCATAATTAATTGAAACACGAATAAACCATTTGTCGAGCGAGAAAGACTGGCGACAAAGAAAAACAAAGCTTAGGCGTTGTTATACAACGAGATCATTTTTGTATCTTCAAGGGAAGGTTTATCTCCTTTCGAAATTAAAAAGGGGGAGGGTCTATCTTGCCCGTAAGTACTGATAGGATTAAGACTATTGTTTGAATTCTGTTTACAAATATTAGAATAAGTATACCTTCTTAATAGGTGCAATGTTTTTGTTTATTACATACTTCCGAGAAGTTTCATTTAAACTCCGATATTAGGGTTTCTTTGACTTTTCCAAATTCAAAATTGGAGTACATTAACACTAAAGGAATAATACAAATCTATCATGCATGAACATGGTTTACTTCCATCAAAATTCAAAATGGTCACAAACAATTCCGACACCATAGATGTGAAATTTTGTAACAAATGAAAACTAAGTTATTAAAGCTGGCATTGATAGTTGATTCTCACTATCTTTGGAAGTGAACTTGTTAGCTGATATCAAGACCAGTAATTAAATATTTGAACACTTATAGTAAAGAAATGAATGTTGGAACCCAATATTAATAAGCATTTGGACTTATAATATTGAGTTTGTGTGTGAATAAGAAATGAAGTTTAATAAGCAAATGGGCCTTATAAATTCATTTGAGATTTGGGTTTGAGCCTATGAAAATGAAATATTCCTATTGGCTATAACTAAAAGTGGAAGTTTAGTGGAAGTGTATTTGTCCCACATTGCTCACAAAGGAGAAAAATCTCTTGTATAAATATGACCTTCTCACAATAAGGGTCAACAGCATTGTGGAAGTAAAAGGGCATTACGCAAAAACATCTATGCGCGCCGCCGCCGCCGCCGTCGCCTTGCTCGTTGCTCGTTGCATTTTTTAATTGGCTCTTAGGGCTCTTGGGCTCTTGGGCTCTATATAGCTGGGTGTGGGTCGTGGGCTTCTTAGTTCCTGCGAAATATTTTTTGCATATTGAAAGGATAAATCTTAGGAAATAAAAGATTGCGTCCAGATAATAACGGAAGATTTCCGAATCCTTTTACTCACGGAAATAGGAGAATATCTCGTAATATTCATTTTCGCAAAAGCTTATTCCTTGCGGATCAAGCTGAACCTTCCAGTATAAATAGACGCCCTCTTCTCTCATTCTACATCATCGAATTAAGAATCGAATTTTCGAATACTCCAAACACACAGCAAATCCCTCTCGTCTTAATATCGTAAGTGTCTCGAGAGTTATAGCATAGTATTTTAGTTCACAGATTCTATTACGGGTGTTGCGTAATAGTCTCATCACGGTTGTATCCTGGGATTCAAAAATCGCAACAAACCGTCACACATTACGGGCGATTTATTGAGTTAAGGAAAGAGATCATATCTCGACTCCGTGTTTTCGTCTGTTTTCAATCGGTTTTCAAACTTTCGTTTTAATCTCTTACCTTAACATATCGTTTATAATATTGCTATTTTCTATTCGTGATTTCAATCGGATTTTCGCGGTCTTACAATGAAATGGCTATTCATAGTATCCTGGTGACATATACTAACTTTACATGGAAAACTGAACTCAATATATTCCAGGCTATTTTCGAACCTACTCAGTTCTTATTGCTTTTTGCACTATACTCATATCTCTTTGTTTCAACAATATAATTGCATAAATAATAACTAACAAGTGTAATTTAATGTGTAGCTTCATTTTGTAGCGAACTAATTAAGAATTATGCAAGTTTGACGACGAAAATGAAACAAGATTTTTCTACCAAATCTGGTGTAGTAGTATCATAGTACTCTCCCTCGGTACTGACCAGGGTTCGATGTTCTGAATGCGCAATTATTTGTAACCATTTCTTAACAAAAATAAGACTATAAAATTAATCATATCATGCGAAATAAATTATGTAAAAAAAAAAAATATTGCGAAATAAGTTTTCCCGCCCTAGAGGCCAAAGCTAAGGATCTAGGTAGGTGGGTCCCCCGACTCAGAGACCACAAAAACTCACATTTGGCAATTTCTCCTTACTCTCAATTTTCATTATTTTATTTACTCAATCTCCGTAACGGCCTATAAATACAACCCTATAACGCCAGATTTTAGAGAAAACCAAATAAAATTCATAAACGAAAAGAAGAAAAAACCAAAAAAAAAAAAGCTCTCTTAAAGAGAAGAGCAGAGAAAAGAAATTCAATCACACTTCTCTCCTCTCTTTCGTCACCGATTCAATATCTTTTCCATGGCGACCTCCGTCGATAACCGCCATTACCCCCGCCTCAACCCCGCCATGAACGGCGGCGGCGTCGTTCGCTCCTTCAAGCCTCCTCCCGTTCCTTCTCGCTCATTCGACCGCCACCAGAGTGTCGGCGCTCTAACCGAAAAACTCGTCGTCAGAGAAAACGAAAACACCACCGTCGAGGAAGAAGACCGTTACGATTCCAGCGACGACGAGGACGAGAGCCACAACCGTAACGTCGCCTACTACAAGGAGATGGTTCGCAAATCCAACATCGATTTAGAGCCGTCGATTCTAGATTCGAGAGACGAATCAACGGCTGATAACTGGATCCAGCGTAACTCCTCTATGGTCCGTCTCACCGGAAAACACCCATTCAACGCCGAACCGCCTCTCCCTCGCCTTATGCACCACGGATTCATCACTCCCGTCCCTCTCCATTACGTCCGAAACCACGGCTCTGTCCCCAAAGCCGATTGGTCAGATTGGACCATCGAAATCACCGGACTCGTCAAGCGCCCGGTGAAATTCACCATGGAGCAGCTAATCTCCGAGTTTCCCAGCCGCGAATTCCCAGTCACACTCGTCTGCGCCGGGAATCGCCGGAAGGAACAGAACATGGTGAAGCAGACTATCGGATTCAACTGGGGATCCGCCGGAGTATCCACTTCCCTCTGGAAAGGCGTTCCGCTCAGTGAAATCCTCCGCCGATGCGGAATCTACAGCAGAAGAGGCGGCGCGCTCAACGTCTGCTTCGAAGGAGCGGAGGATCTTCCCGGAGGCGGCGGATCTAAATACGGAACAAGCATTAAGAAGGAGATGGCCATGGATCCCGCGAGAGACATCATATTAGCGTATATGCAGAACGGAGAGCTTCTGACGCCGGATCATGGGTTTCCGGTTCGGATCATCGTACCCGGTTTCATCGGCGGGCGGATGGTGAAATGGTTAAAGCGAATCATCGTCACGCCTCAAGAATCTGACAGTTACTACCACTACAAAGACAACCGAGTCCTCCCTTCTCTCGTCGATGCTGAGCTGGCAAATGCAGAAGGTAATTTATTTACTTTCTCTTTTTACTTTTTTACCAGACTAGACTGGGGGTAATAATAATATTCATGTGTGTTGCAGCTTGGTGGTATAAGCCAGAATATATAATCAACGAGCTTAATATAAACTCGGTGATAACGACACCTGGTCACGAGGAGATCTTGCCTATTAATGCTTTCACTACTCAGAAGCCATACACATTAAGAGGCTATGCTTATTCTGGTAATTAATCTCTTCTAATAAAAAAAAAAAACTAGATTATACGTACATATTAAGTTGTTAAGTTCTGAAGAATAACTTGTAAATGGTTTGAAACAACAGGAGGAGGTAAGAAGGTAACGAGAGTAGAGGTGACGCTAGATGGAGGAGACACGTGGAGTGTGTGTGAGCTTGACCACCAAGAGAAGCCGAACAAGTATGGCAAGTTCTGGTGCTGGTGTTTCTGGTCACTTGACGTCGAGGTTCTTGATCTCCTTAGTGCCAAAGACATCGCGGTTCGAGCCTGGGACGAGTCTTTCAACACCCAGCCTGATAAACTCATCTGGAATCTCATGGTAACCTTCTCTCTCTCTCAGTTTTAACTTATTACAAATTAAATTTTGTTCTCTTTTTTTTTATTGATTAGTTTAGAGTTATTATTAATTTAATCCAGTCTTTGAGTATTATAAACAATTTGATTTTGTATTCGTCTTCGTCCTACAAAGTTGGAACCACTGCTATATTGTTGATGGTTTCTTAAGACGTGTCACCAACCATATTCGCTTTTCGGAATTTCTTAATTAATTACAACTCTAATCAACATGGAATTAAGAAAACTTCTTTAATTGTCTCCATTGTACAGTTCATATTTAGTGGTTAATTAATCATTTCCCTTGATGTGGGCAATTATATTAGTGTAAAAAATTTGAAAATATATAAAACTTAGAAAAGTCGTAAGTCCATGGTCTCCAGCCAACTGATTACGAATAGATTTATTTACATATGATACTTTTGACTTGAGCAATACTGACGTTGACTGGTGCTTAAACAGGGAATGATGAACAACTGTTGGTTCAGGGTGAGGACCAACGTGTGCAAGCCTCACAAAGGAGAGATAGGGGTCATTTTCGAACACCCGACCCGACCCGGAAACCAATCGGGTGGGTGGATGGCAAAGGAACGCCAGCTTGAGATATCCTCCGAATCAAACCATACTCTGAAGAAATCGGTCTCATCTCCATTCATGAACACTACCTCGAAGATGTTTTCAATCTCCGAAGTTAGAAAACACAACTCCCTCGAATCCGCGTGGATCATCGTCCACGGTCACATCTACGACTGTACACGTTTCTTGAAAGAACATCCAGGAGGCTCGGACTCGATCCTCATCAACGCAGGCACCGATTGCACCGAAGAGTTTGAAGCCATTCACTCAGACAAAGCCAAGAAGCTTCTAGAAGATTACAGGATCGGTGAACTCATCACCACTGGCTACGACTCTTCACCTAATGTTTCGGTCCACGGTGGCTCAAACGTAGCTTCTTTGCTAGCTCCAATCAAAGAGCTAGCTCTTTCAAAGAACATCGCTTTGGTCAACCCACGAGAGAAAGTCCCAGTCACACTCATCGAGAAGACTTCCATCTCTCACGACGTTCGTAGGTTCAGATTCGCATTACCATCAGAAGATCAGCAGCTTGGTTTACCCGTGGGGAAACACATTTTCCTCTGCGCCAACATAAACGACAAGCTCTGTCTCAGAGCCTATACTCCAACCAGCACGGTCGACGCCATTGGACATATCGACCTGGTCGTCAAGATTTACTTCAAAGACGTTCATCCGAGATTCCCCAACGGAGGAACCATGTCGCAGCACTTGGACTCGTTACCCATCGGGTCGGTTCTAGACATCAAGGGTCCATTAGGACATATCGAGTACAAAGGCAAAGGAAACTTCATGGTCAACGGCAAACCCAAGTTTGCCAAGAAACTAGCCATGCTTGCTGGAGGAACAGGCATTACTCCGATTTACCAAGTCATTCAATCGATACTGAGTGATCCAGAGGACGAAACCGAGATGTTTGTGGTTTACGCAAACCGAACCGAGGATGACATACTTGTCAGAGAAGAGCTAGAAGGATGGGCTAGTAAGCATGAGGACAGGCTAAAGGTTTGGTATGTCGTTGAGATCGCAAAAGAAGGCTGGAATTACAGCACCGGCTTTATTACCGAAGCTGTGCTTAGAGAACATATCCCTGAAGGTTTAGAAGGAGAATCGCTCGCGCTCGCGTGTGGACCACCGCCTATGATCCAGTTTGCGTTGCAGCCTAATCTAGAGAAGATGGGTTACAACGTTAAGGAAGATCTCTTGATCTTCTAAGATTTACGTGTAAGATTATATGCATTGGAAAATCCGAAAGTCAATAACAAGTACCGCTTATGTAAAAAAATGGTAATTTGGGTGCTTGTTAGAGTTTTTTTTTCTTTTCCAAATGTATATGTATAAATGTGTTTATGATTTATGTTATTGTTGATGATGATGATGAAAGCATGTAACTTAAACTTTTACCGTCTTGATTTTATCGTTTCCTTTCAGCTATTGTCAGGGAATCTTACATATGGTTCCCATAATATGTCTTTGTCGTCTAATAAGTTTGTTATAGTTCGCATCAAGTGCTATTCATTCAATCACGCCTGATAAACGTTTGTCGAGTGAGACTATAATTATTTTCAAGTTTTATTTATTTATTTTATTTTTCAAGTTAGTTACCACTTGTGCTTGATTTGCATACACATTTTTACTATTATCGTCAAAGGGAGACGAATAATAATGCCACGGTACTGTTGTATTGATTCGATACCGATACCAAAAGGAAAAATGATCTAAAGTGCCAAAATGGAGTTTCGGTTCGTCCCCACGAGATTCGTGGACTCGTGGTTCATACGCATTTTACATTATATTAATACAAGAAGAGTTAATAATGGAAGTAATAATATTTCCATATTTGTTATGAAGAGAATATAATATACAGGATCGACGATAACTAAATTTTATGAACTACTCCAGTCTCCAGTGATTATCGTAAACCTCTTATGAAAATGAATAATTTGGACATTTTCTTGGTATCAAAATCGAATTAAAAATAAATATTATTTGCTTTATTAGCTTTTTAAGAACTCATCCCCGATTTAATTTATAAATACAATATGTGTATGAATTGAATACGACAAAAACTTTCATTTTTTGCCCAAAAATAAATAAGTTAGAGTAAGTACTTATTTATAGATAAAAGAACGATGGAAAGATTAAGTTTTACTTCTCACTGGTAATTAGTTAGTTTTAACTTCTGCGTATATACAAATGCTGGTTTAAAGCTGAAACTTATTAATCTCATAGTTAGACTACTCATGCATGCTTGATGCTTTTCCCTTTCTTCACGACATATTGGGACCAATTAATCTCAGAATTTAAAATCTCATCTAGATTACTATCATACTATGCAACCATTTTTGTAACTTCCCGCTTCAAACGTCAGTATCTCAACAATCGAATACCATATCCATAGGAAGTGGTATTTAATGGAATTGGAATATGTATTTCGCGGTCTCGAATCGCTTTAACAAATGAGAAATGGACGATAAAAACAATACGTTCGTCTTTGATTTTTTGTTAGCATACACTATATTCTAAACGCATCGATCTCTCGCTTTAAATTATGAATGTGCCTCTCTAAATACTAAAGTTCTCTTACCATTCATTCTATAGAAAATTCGTCAAATGCATAGGGGCTTGCATAGGGCACGTAGTTACCTTTTAGACCATTAAAAAACTAAATTGATCGAGAGGGAAACTTCCTAAATAAAGAAAACTAAAATAAAATAGAAAGGAATAAGAAAAAAAAACAAAGAAGGTAGGCACAAGAAAACGTTTAGCCGCGATCTCGTAACAAGGGACGTCCCGACCACTGCGGATACGGCGAGACACTGACTGATTTTTCTCTCTTTAGTTTTCTAAAGAACGTTGTTTCGTGCTCACAAGGGTCAAGTGTCAACCATATCCAAACTCCCTCTATTATCACATATAAAATCCCACTCTTCTGATTTGTCTTTATTCGTGATATATAATCTAAGTTAAATTACTTCTGAATTATATATGTCATCTCTCCCTCTCTCTCCACTTACCTCGGTCCTTAGTGAAAATGACGTCCGAAATTTGAAGAGTTGTTCTTCCTGCAACTTACTACTATTTTTCATGGACATTGATCAATACTAGGTATTGAAAGTTGACAATCTTGTATATAATGGCCATCTGCACCTACTTAAATAATTGATAAAGATTAAAACAAAGCATATCTACTTTTTTTTTGTTTTTCGGTTTACATGGATTGTTGTATGAATTAATTTTTAAGACCGTTTGGTATATTAAAAGCATCAGAGTTATTATAACAGAAGTATGTATGTAGATATAGCCCTTTTTAACTTACTCAATTTTTTTGTTGTGGACATCATATCGTCTTATTTTCTCTTCCAATAAAGAAAAATCCAACTAAATTTAGAAAATGTTGGTATAATTCATGAGTCTTATTCATGACCACCGTTTTTCGCTATCGTCGTCTTCTCCGTCACCCTTTCCCTATTTGCCGCAAAAATATGTCGTCTTTATAAAATTACACTAAAGTCATCATTTGTCTGGTATATTGTTTTGTCATTCACACAAAGATGTTGTTTGATTCGAAGTGCGGCCACAATCTTTTTCGTTGGTCGCCAAGATTGCTAGTTTCGCACAAGTGTCCAGTTCTAACATCTACGTCTTGTTGAGACCACCTCCTTTTATGAGCTATGCACCGAATCATAACGTCAATATAATGCACATTTTGCTTGCAATGATGAGTGTTCTAGTTTTCTTCTAATTAAAATTCCATCACTATATGTTTAATATTTAAGTTTATCATGAATTTTCAACTCAAAATTCAATTAAAAATAAATGAATTAATTTATATCTTTTGTATAGTACTTCACAAATACCCAACATACATAACTTTCACTAAAATCCCCATAACGCTCGAACATAAACATGGAAACATTCACGAAGTAGCCAAAAGAATCAGGTGGCTCTGATAATATGAAAATTAGTAGATTGGTCTATGCTTTTTATAAAACTTAGATCTCTACCAACTTTCATGTTAGGTATTATTTTTTTAGAATTAATTAGGATTAGATAAATTCATAACAAAGATATTTTACCAGCCTTATTGTACTTTATTATTGGTTTGTTGACAGCCTGTAATATGTTACGTGGATCAAAACAGACCTGCCAAATCGATACTTTTTTTGCCAGAAAATAAACATTTCCAATATGTTTTTAACAAAAAAAAAAACATAATTGACCATTTCCAATTTACTTCTATCTATTTTATTAATTGTATTATGATTGGTGTGTTTACTAGAATTATGTTCAACTCATTGAAGAATAATAAAAACAAATAAAATGCTACTCTTAAGTCTTAACTAAGTTTAATTCACTGAAGACTTGTTGTCATTCCCTTTTTCTAGGTTCATTTGTGATAAAAACGAAAAAACAAAATAAACCCTTTAGCCAAAAACGAAAAAAATAATATATATATATATATATATATAATAACTACGAAATCACCGGTAGAATTTCTCCAGAGCTCAAATTATTTTAGTATAATGTTGTCGTTCTACAAAATTATTAACTACACATCTCTCATTACTTTATAGTACCATTAAAACAGGATGATTAAGTTTATCAAAGACGTCCCTTATGGCTATTAAGAGTCAGACGCAGAGATGACCATGACCAGGGTCATTAAGGCGTCTTATATTCAAACCATTACTCCATTAATTGCTAGTTAGTCAGATTAATTTATCTATTACGATAATGTTACTTTTGTACTATATTGATTAAGTAGCTCTCAGCCAACAGGCAAAGTATGAAATACGTGAATTATTCAAAGATTTGTGGGCTTCCAAAAGCATTGGGAATGGCTCCAACTACATTGGGAAATATATTAACAAATTAAATCCCCATTGCCACAGTCGTTGGAGTTATTTATATTTCCTAGTGGGAGAATCCATTATAATTATCAGCGTAATTTACAAATCCCAATAGTTGGAAAACAAATCGTAGTAAAAATAGTTTATAAATGAAGGGAAATATACTATGGCATTTTAATAAACATATCAATATAGCTTTGACTTTAAAATTTTAAAAATCCATTGTGGGCAATTAGTCATAAAGTATTAAATATTCTAATACTATGTTTGAATTCGTAAAATTAGATAGTTTTACACAAACTTTTTTATAACAGAGGAATAAGCGGCACTGTTCATGCCACGCTTCATATTATACTTTGAAATAAATTATATGCTTTGCCACTTGCCACTAATACATAAAGTATTGTTGACATTGTAAATAATTTATTTGTTGTTGCTAGATTGTAAATAAATTTGGCACGACCCTCTTAATTTTCTTTCTCAATAATTAATTAATTTTTTTTGTTAAATTTCAATAATTAATATGGCCATACTATAGCTAGGGAAACCCTACGTCTTATATTAGTGTCTATATCCCAAGTTGTAAATTTGTCTTAATGTGAGACATAACATCTACTAATATATACGTCAGACCGAAATGTTGATTCCGATCACAAAAGTGAGCTCTGCCTAATTTTCTTTTTGACTTTTTATTCACCGTTTTAATCTAAAACATTTAACTGTAAATTATTTTTACATGACTATTACCCGACAATCTTCTATATGATGGTTGAATTATAAAATATCTCTTAAAATGATAAGTGTGAGAAAGGGAATGTAATAGAGACCACAAATACATAAATATGTCCCGTGCTTAACACGTCTGAGTCATTATCGAACCCTTTTGGGAACCTTTACAAGTTTCTTTTCGTGAAAATGACCACACATTTTAACTTGACATGTGATTGTTGCATGCATAATATATTCGCAAAAATTATACCTTTAATCAGAATAAGCATACGGATACAAACAAAATTTGGTCTCAGATATGAAGAAAACTCTAAAAATGTCGAGTTTTCACAAGAGCTAAATCAAATATCTTTAATATCTATCTATATGAAAACTCTGGCAGTTATTTTATCACGTCATAATTGCTGCAAAACTATGTAATCCTTTTTTTTTGTCGAAACCAAAAGACATTGAAGTAAAAGAAGAAAAAAACTATAAACCCGTAGGAGATAGCTCAAATTTCATTAAATTTTGTATCCTTGCAATACTAAAACCATTATGTTTTTTTTTTTAATATATTACTCAAAAACATATTTTATATGAAAATCATATTCGGTTACAACTTAATTGGCTTCTCTTGCTTGAAATTAAAAAGAAGGTCGAAACAAAAATCAATCTTATGAGTATTGGCTTTTGAACCGCTTTCACTAGCTCCTCAGCATCACGTTTCAAAGATGACTCCCACAAAACATAGATTAAAAGTTACACGAGAGATTTACTTATTTAATCTTTTGCTTCTACACCGCAATCGAAACCTGAAGCGCCTAGAAAAACTAGGCTAATCAAACTAATTTGATCAGGAAGACCTTAACGAATTATACAAGTTCCTAATTTCTCTCATTCATAAAAACCGGGTTGATTTTGGACAACCAGTCAAATACCAACATGACATAGTGTATTGGACCTGAGACCTCATCTCTCAAAAAATGAAAAGCCTAATAAGAGTTTTTCCATTTTAAAGCCCAATAAGCGAAATCTAAGCCTCAGAGACCCAAGCAAGAGTCAGAGTAGAACGAGAGGGGAGACGCGATTGCGTTTGGTTGAAAAAAGCGGCGGCGCTAACGGCGGTTGGAAACTGAATCTTAAACCCTCCTTCACCGTGAATCTCCGTAACTCAGTTTCTACGATGTTGGGTTTACGCAGATCCGCGGCGACCTTATTCGACCATAGCCAGTCTCTGCTTCGGAATCTATCGGTGAGTTGTTCGTCTCCTATTCGAATTCCAATCTTCTTTCCAATGCTAATTGCGTTTAATATCTCCATCAGTTTCTTCCTTGAGTTTTCGGATTAGGGTTTCAGTAGATAAACTCGATTCGTCTGTTTCGGCATTTGATTCTTATGCGATTCTAAAATGTAGGGTAACTATTAAGTTGCAATCTGTTCGCCAGACCTAGAAGTTTCTCTCTCGTTGTGTATTTGTTTCGAATCGTCCGTTTAGGTTTCTTTCCCGTTTCCAGATCGTGAGAAATGAGAAGATATATATTTTTTGAAATCGAATTTTGTCTAAAAGTATTGAAATTGGCAAGGTATTGTCAATCGATTGAGAATTTGGTTTCTCCTCAAACGTTTGCTTAACAACACTTTTCTTTGTTGTTGTGTGAAATTATGAGTAACTGTTGATATATGTTGGCTTGTTTTTGGCTCAGCTAAAAGTGTAAAGATCTTGCAATTGCGTACTATCTTGAGTTATAGTTTAACTTTGAGGATCACATCCTGCGTCTTACATATGTCTGTGAACTGAAGCCGCTAGATTCCTAACTCGGCCTGTGTGAATCAAAGCTGCAAGACTTTGTTTAATTTCCTGTTCGAGTTATGTATCAAATTCACGCATTTATTTTGTTCTCTTTCTCTGCAGTTCCATGGATTACGTGTCCAAGGGATTCGTGTGGGAAACGCAGAGGTTCCAAACCATAAGCCACTCAAAACCGGTCTTCAAGAAGTGTATGGAATCGGGCGCCGTAAATCTCACCAGGTTCTCTGTGGGCTCGGGATCACTAACAAACTTGCCAGAGACTTAACTGGAAAAGAACTCATTGACCTCCGTGAAGAAGTTGGCATGCACCAACATGGTGATGAATTGGTAAAAAAAATTGCTCTTTCTATATCATATTTCAACTTTCTTTCTCGTCTTAATCTTTTTTACCTATTTTTCGTCTCTCTAAACGATGGGCTTTTGCTGTTTTTGTTTCCATGATTTTTGATTCAAGAGGAGGCGTGTTGGATCGGAAATACAGAGACTGGTAGAAGTAGACTGCTACAGAGGAAGTAGACATAGACATGGAATGCCTTGCAGAGGACAACGAACCAAAACTAATGCTCGCACTAAAAAGGGAAAGAGAGTTGCTATTGCAGGAAAGAAGAAAGCTCCTCGCAAGTAGAACCAAACAAAATTTGTTTACTCTTTCTTGCACCAGTTTAAGACTTTGTGTCACTTGTTGGGGTGTAGCTGATCAAATAAGCAAAACATGATTTTCTCTTTTTTTATTGTCGTTTTTTGTAATTGCGGTTGTAGAGGAAGGAGAAAACTTCCAATTAAGCATGATCTTAAACCCGTTCTCTAGTCTCCCTTTTATCGAAATTTGGCCCAAATATAATCCATTTGAGGCCCAATGGAGAAAACCCATTAAATTGTTTTGGAGACCATCCTAAAGCACCAATGCTACAAAGTCTGCCAACACATTTTATATTTTCTAAATATACGAAATTTCACTTTCTCGTTTTATATTTTGTATGATGATACAAAAACATATGATATGAGATAGGACACGACTCATGGAACAAAAAATAACGACCAAATCGAATTAGAATCACAAGAAATGAGACCAAACGATTTGAAATTGATATAACAGGGAGACCAATTTGGGAAATGGACTAATCGATGCCTTCTAGACCCGATCACATTTATGTACTTATACTCGTTTGAGTCGTCTCTCCTCTCCACTCATTTGTTCGTCTAAAATGTCCTCCACGTCATTTCTCTACGTATTCTTTGTTTTTTCAACAATAATAACTCAGGTGGGCCTTTTTAATTATATGGACCCATTTATTTGGGCCCACAACCATGTGATCCAACTTTTTTTTTCGGGTCTAATTCGTAATTGCACACTCGTGATATAAATTCTCCACTTTCTAGACAAGATATATACATGCGATTATGCCCTTAGAAGACCTTTCATGTAAAAAGGAAATAAAAACAAGAGATCTTTCCTAGAAAAATCCATGAACTATACAAGTCGAATGATATAGATTAAATATGTGGCCAGAGTTTTTAGATATTGTTTTGAAGTATTAATTTGTATATATTAAAAAAAAAACGTATATATAAAGCGATTAGGGAATGAAAATTCCAAAATTGGATAACTACCACAGAATAAAACAAAAAGAGAGAAACAGAAACAAAATAAAATATTTGTCTTCTTTTTTTTTAAATACGAAAGTATTTCTAATGTTTTTTTGTGTTAAAGAAAGTATTTCTGATGTCCCATGATCACGAGCGTTTATGCAATAAAATATAAGAAACTTAATTTTTTTTTTTTTAAAGAAACTGAAAAATATTACAGCATTCGGGGGAGACACATGGAAGATAACCCACCAAACCGACCATTCAAGAAGTTGCCACAAACTCAAATATAATCTCTATCGATAAATATCATCCTTATATATCCATTTCAGATTATCTTTGTTATCTTTTTTCAGCCATGCAGTTAACTTTAAACCATTCAAATGATACCCGTATAATCTGAAGCTGATAGATATTGGCAGCTCAATAATTATTTGGAGAAAAGGTTCGTTCCGTTATAAAAAAATCGTCTTGTTGATAGGAAGAAATTTGGAGATGTGTGCGTAAATTTTTTTGAATAGATATGAATGTAAAATAATGTTGACATAATAAGGAGTTAAGGATATAACGAATCTAATGTTATAGGTTAAGTTTCATTCACTGTTTCTGTGCTGGTTATTGTAGATGTTGTAAATGGTGAAAACAATTACTTTTCTACTAGAATGGTATTGATTTTTAGTGCATAATATATTTACTTATTAAAGTATCTAGAGTTATTTGGGAAATTAGAATCATGAACTCGGAAAAGTTTGAGAAAAAAAAAATAGTTCGGAAAAGCAAAGTATTACATGAAAACGGTTATGATCAAAGTTATGCCAGAGAAAGTACATCTAACTTTTAAAAAACAAAATATATATTATTATTGTTATTAATCATGCAAAAAATATAAAACAAAAAATATGTATCCAGCGCATGTGCAATCAATCAAATAAATAGTGTTATTGGATATATATATATATATTTATTCAGATAATCAGGATTATTATTTTTTTATGATATTTAATCATTTATGTATACAAACTTTTCATGCTTTAGATTCGCAGGAAATGCGACTATCTAATTCCTAAATAAAATTAAATACCAAAACAAAATAGGAGTTTAATGACAATTCCTCGCCACAAAAATCAAAACACGTATTTTATATAAACTCACAAATAGTAAAATAAAAAGACAACATCAAATTTCATCAAACAATCTAATTTTATAAATGATTTTTTTTTGGTAAAATTCAATTCCATAAATGATTTATAAAAAAGAAAAGAAAAACAATAAAATAAAATGAAACTGCACAAATATAGCATATGATCAAATATTTCAACCATATATATCACAAACTGTCTCATTTGATAGTAAAACCAACACATTAACTAGTTTGGCTCCAGCAAACACTACTAATAATGTTCAACAAAATATTTAGTCTTTAATATATAGTGTTTGTCGTAACATTTTATTGTTTGATCTCTTATTTTAGGGTTTAACACAGCATGATCATAGCAATATAGATAAAATTAGATAACACTTTAAACATTGGATTAAAAATTGACACTGTTTTTTAATCGTAAATTGAAGTATACAAGAGAATGATGGTTAAGAGGCGGTGTCTCCTTGCAGTGGAACCTTATGTTTGAATGTGAATAATGTGCCTATTTAAAATACCAATGGTCATATTTGGTGGTTTTTCAATTTCAGACAAATTTAGTCTCTAAATTGAGACTATTTAAATTTTCATCGCTCTTTGTCTTAATTTATTTTTCCCTCGAATGTGTCAAATTTGAGCTCTCATATTTGGTCGTTGTAGAATTTATCATAGTTTTTAATGTTTAGTTAGGGATTAATCTTGCTTTTGGTTTAAAATTTTGATTAGAAATAAATAAATTATTTAAACGATATGTTTTTGCCTTGTGGGAGACTAATAAAGTGAGAAAAGGCTAGAATCGATAGCTCAAATTATTCAACAAGAAAGGTGGCTAATAAATTCAAAATTTGTGTGTGTTTAAAACATTAGAGTATGAGATTAGTAAGTAGGCTCGACTTTCGCGGTTATCCGTTTTCCGATAATAGGCCTTCAAAAGTTTCCTCGTTTCTCATACCAATATTCACCGTTCAGATATATATCGTATATATATATATATATAATAATACAAAATGAAGTTGTTATTAACATTAGCTTTTAACAATTAGGTAATTGCCCTTTAATATGGTTTGTAGTCGAATTCATTGGACTACCTTTGTTAAACGAGTTGTGGTACTTGGATTGTCTTGTCAAACTGTAGTGTTCATAGACTTAATAAATTAAATCAATTAGGCTTATGTAAAATATTAATTTTAGAAAGAGTTTGTTGGTAAAATAGTAGAACGGGATAACCAAAGTTGCAAAGGCGTGGTAAATAAGATTCTCCTGGATTCAAATTTGTTCGCATTACCGCACGAGGATATTTATAAACAATTCAATATAAATTACCTAGTTGAAGGCAATTAGACAAAACGATTGTCTAGGGCTACATGTATGATGTATCTATCACAAATTGTCGTGTTAGAAAATCCTAGTTAAAACATCTTATGAGTCTATTACAGAATGACAAAAACACTACAGCAATAATTAATTGTTTTCCTAAGAAAATTAAATCTAAAAGTTTTATTTTAGAGTTTATTAAATCTTGAATTCTAGGTGCAGACTTGCTATAAAAAAAATAACGAGTATAATTCCCTTTCTAGTTACAGTTATCCTTTTGAAACAGTACATAGATTTGTTCATCTCACTTGTTGTCGATCATCGATAATATTTAGCGTGTTGTGTCATATTTCTAATTTAGTTTGGCTTTACATTCATATTGTCATGCATATATTACACACACACACAAGAAAATCGGAAGATGTATAAAATATTAAATCATTTCGAGAAGACAAATTAAACATGACAAAACAAGACAGATCGATAGAACAGACCTCTCATAGAAAAAGATCTTACTGTATCTTCGCAAGCTTATTGGCTTATAGCCCAAATCAGTAAATAAGATTGTTCATCTTTTTTTATAAGGTAACACGAGAAACAAAATGGTTTCAAAAATTAAACACATGAGAAACAAATAATAACACGAGTAAGAGAGATTGTTGAGATCTGTGACATTTAATTAAAGGGCTTTTTAGGCATGCAAGTTTTTGGCAGACCTAGCTACTGTTCAAGGCTCTGTCTTTTTCCTATTTTCTCGTTTAGCGAACAGTTGTTTCTTTTATTTATTTACATCATAATTTATTTATTCATAGAGTACGTACAAGATACACTTATATCTTCTTCTTCTTTTGTCTCTTTGTTTATCGAGAAAACCGTAGTGAAGATTTGTATTTTTTTTTCTATTCGTTTTGTGATTGAAGATCTGTATAATAATGAAACTTTTGTTCATTAGCTTTTTTGTAACAATCAAATTATAGTACTCCCTCTGTTCAGAATTATTTGATGTTTTAGAAGGTTTTTTTTGTTCAAAATTATTTGATGTTCTCACTTTTCAATGCAAAATTTAATGAATTTTTATAGTTTTTGACCTTTTATATTCTGCAGATTGTCTTCTTATTGGCTGAATGATATTTAAATGGATTATAAATAATATTTTTAGTATAGAAAAAATAAAAATTAAATGAATCCTTAAACTATGTGCAAAAACCTTAAAAATCAAATAATTCTGAACAGAGAAAGTATTATTATTCGCTTTGAAATTGGGATGAATGAAATTTTTGACTTGTCACCTGCCTGTAAGAGGGCAGTTCGTTATTTAATGCGGCAGAAAGAAAGTCTCGTCGATTTATGTAAAAATAACCAAGTGAATACAAAACTTGGCTCGCAAGAAATATGAGCGTTGGTCCATTCTTATATTTAAGTAGTAATATTAATCCCTACATTACTGCTTGAGAAATGAAACAGTATAATTTTATAGAATGTTCTTCTTAGGAATTTGGACTCTAGGATCTGAAGAAATATGAGAAATGGGCACATCATGAGTCCATGACACGTATTTGTTCACAAAAATGTTCGAAAACCTGTTACTTTATAGGGAATTGTTCATAAATAATTTATATAATTTGACTTTGTTACACTCCCTCCTCTCCTCTGGTAGTGGTCGGATTTCATCTTTAAAAAAATCGTAACTCCCCAGTAAACATTTTTTAATACATGTACTGTTATTGAGCAAATTATAGTGGATTATAAATGTTTTTTATTCCGTATACGTACAATAATTGTATTTAAATTTTTGGTTATGTCCCAATGTGTCAAGATAAAATAGTTTTTGGCAGATATTGGCTCTAATAGAAAACTATTAACGGAATTTGCTCCAAAAAAAAACCTATCAACGGAAACAAAAAAAATGGTATTCTCACTATTATACTACTCGTCTAAAAAGACCATCTCTTCATTAAAAAAAAAAAAAAACAGCTTTACATTTAATATGAAGTCATACTAATAAATTTACACCGTAATCGACCAAAAAGTTTAACACCGCAATAACTAGGCAACGTGGACTGGTGCTCCTACCGATTAGATCGGACCGGAGAATATATAGAAAAAATTGTCAACATACACATTATTTTACGTGTTCTTCAAAACCCATACTCGAAAATTATATAAATAAATAGTAATTAAATATGATAAAGAAAGCGTAATGTGAGATGTTTATTCAGAGTTTACAAAAGAGGACATGTGGTCTTCTCTCTATGCTTTCTCTTCTTTTCATGTTAACACAACCTCAATTTCAAGCTCTCTCAACTTTTGACCATAATATTGTGTACTTTTTTTAATATGAGTTATAGTAACATCATATCAAATATATATCCACGATAGAATATATCATTTCTCTATTTTTATGAATAGACAGATCACTGGTAAATGTATTTTCCATATATAGAACATTATCATCCGAAAATAACTGAATATCTCCTTGTTCAAATTGAGAAAATTTTATATTGTGTACCGAATATGTATTCCAGAAACATACGACTCAAAATAGAGTTTGAATAATAATTGGAAAAGTATCTTTAGATGCGAAAAGCATGGTGAAGAGAGAAGATGGATCCCATGGGAATATGGGACCTCTTTTGAAGATTTTAATAAATCTTTAGCTTTTTCTTTTGTCGCAATTTTAAAAAAGAAATTAAAGTATACTTCCCCACAAAATTACACAAAACAAATAATTTAATGGAGAACTAAGACAAATGGGATTAAAATAAACCACCCATCCTTTTCATAACTTGTACACTTGTCTTATTCCCCATTTCCAAATCTCTCAAACCCAATTTTTTTTAAAGCCTATGTACTTTTTTTCTCCTTCACAAATCTATATTCACATATATCTTCTCTGACCCTCCAAAAAAAAAATTCCCCACCCAAAATTTGTTTTGATCACCTCTAACTCTTCTCATATATATAAATGAAAGAAATCAAATCGTCTTCTTCCCTTCTTCGAGCTTTTATCAGACGCAAGGAAATTACCTTTTTTGACCTCATGCCGGCCGCAGCGTCTTTAGACCTCTCAATTTGAGGTAAAAGAGAGGAACTTTAGATTAACATTTCCAATGATGAAATACCTCTTATTAGCCGTCTTCAATGAAGATTCTGCTAATGAAATCTCTAAATCTCTTGGAGTATAGTTTGGGATCAACGGCTGAGATCGAAGCAGGATCGGCTTGAAGAGACTTATAAGCATGCTCAATCTTCTTGCTAATGTCGTAATCTTGCAAAATGTCAATGATTCCAAAATATAGAACCACTTCGTAAACCTCTCCGTGAGATAAATAGTTTGTTCCCCCCGAGGAATATTGATCAAAGTCGCTTCTTCTAGCCATTCGTTCTGCTCTTGCAGGCATGTTTGTGCCTAGTCTTATCAACGGTTTCCTGCAAAAATTAATCAAATTATCAAAATGGTCAATCTGTGGTTGATCGATCTTTTCAGAATTAGTTTAAGTATGGAGCAAAAACGACAACATGATCTGTTACGCCCCCACAAAGTTATTGTGTGTTTTCTATTGAATGAAATAGCCCCCACAAGATTTCCAAGCAACTTTTAATACAATAATGATGCGTTGAGATGTAACATTGTTATCAGATGAAATCATTCGTAATCAGAAAATGAAACTCTCAACCACTCTCTCTGTAGTAGTAATTACCAAGACTATGAATGCAAAAAGACTGTTATGGTAGGTCAACTTCTTGTGCTAAGAATTAAACTCACTGTAATGATTGGCAAGAGAATAAATTATTGACGTACCTGCCAGCTAAAATGCGGTCCATGTCTTGAAGTTCAGCCTCCAGAAAGCGACAACCGCGCATGAATTTCTCGTTTTGATATGACTCTATCTTACCTGCAACAATAACACATGAACAAAAGTCATCAAAACGGGTCTGGTCGAGTCTAGCTGAATAAGAAGACTTGTGGAAGAGGAATGGTAAGTGCAACTAACCAGATCTCAAAACGAACGGAGAAAGCCCCATCTTGTCTCCTGTGTTGTCATCGCGGAAGTGAACTCCAATCAACAGGCTATAATCCATTATTCTCTCAGCTTCCAAGAACTCACAATCGCGTTTAATTTGCCTGTTTAATGGAAAAATGAAGGCAGATTAATAATTTGTTTGACCTTTCAAACAGCCAAATAGCAGAAGCAAAAACCTAAGAAGGAATTAAGGCAGCTTACGTCATAAGCTCTTGGTACCAATTTCTCTGAAGACGGAAAGAAAAATTGAGATCAAGGTCCTTAAGAGTAGTGGTCTCATCAATTTCCGCTTCAGGTTTGGAGGTGGTACGTCCATGGGAAGACCCTTTCAGGTCAAACCGTCTCTGGATTCTATATTCGGAGCAGAACAAGTTCCCCATTACGATAAACCGAGTCTGGAAAGATGGTAAACAACGTGAGAAAAATGTCCATTGGAAACAAAAGAGTCTTATGAAACATAGATGAACAACACAAACCTTCTGGCCACCAACAGGTTTGATACAATGCACGCCGTAGAACTTCGTCACAAGTGAATTCTCATACTGGCAGACATGTTTGTAGTAACTTGAAAGCATTCGTAGAAGGACCTGGATAAAGAAAACAATCACTTCAGGTCAAATTTCCTTAGCTAACCACACTTAGTGGAGTATATGATTAAGAATGTAATGTGAAAGCAAAGAGAGAATAATACAAAGGAATTTCAAACAAGACAGAAGAAGTCAAGAAGAGAGCCAACGACTAACCTTGACTTCTGATTTCTTCACTGTCTTAATCATAAATCTGTCATCTTGAGTTAAGTAAAAAAAACTTCCACTCTTTCCAGGTGAAGACAGTTCTCGAAGAGCATCGTTTCCACATATAGCTAACATGTAATCCGCAGGATCCACCGTGAAAAGCTCCCTCAGGCGTCTATCAAAAGAATTGCCGGAAAGAAACACATCATCACAAACACTGATATAGAACAGACACATTGATACAAAATAGAAGACCATTTAACTGCAAAAGAGTGAATACCTAAACACCAAAGGGCAATAGTCCTTCCATCGGAAATCCACAGACTGATGCGGCGGTGTGGTCTTAGAACCCTCCGGAGGAAACCTTGTCCAGAACTTTTCACTCGGGTCGAAGTCGCTCTGTTTGAGATCTCGAACAACTGACGCATGTTTGCCGACAGAGTACCTAAAGTATCGCACTTTCGTAAGCACACAGATCCAGAAACTCATAATGGCTACACCATTCCTTGGGTTTAAGAAGTTACCTGATCCCATGTTGCAAGTTGAGCATCAGATCGTATTTCTTATGCCCCTTGGATATGGTCTCTCCAGGTTTCTTTGCCTCGCCGCTGAAACAACAAGGATTCTTCCTAAACTGACGAAACCCATCTCGATCAACGGAAATCCTATCTCTGTAAATCACCGATGCATCAAGATTATCAACGATGTCACAAGTGATATCCCCAGCTTCGCCATCTGATTCCCATATACAGATTCTGGGGAAAATCTTCTCCCCACTCAAGCTTCCAGCTCCACTATCAACAGAGGATCTCTTCCTCGTCGCCACAATCAACTCATTCTTCTCGATCCCGTCGAAGAAACTTCTTATGAGGTTGCTGCTTTCGTTCCAAGAACCGATCCAAGAGCTTCCATCAGCCCAAGTGAAAACACCACCTCCTTTGGGAACTCCGTTCTCCCATTGTCCTTCGTATCGATTCCCATTGGGCCAAGCAAGCACACCTTTCCCACAAATCACTCCGTTACGCCATTCTCCAGTGTACTGATTCCCGTTCAACCAAACGTATCTTCCACGTCCGTCCTGGAGATTGCGCCGCCACGTACCCTCGTAGAAATCGCCGTTCGCGTAACGCTTCTGGCCGTGACCCTGTTTCCGGTCAGCGACCCAAGAGCCCCGGTAAGTATCTCCGTCGGCTCCGATGAAGGTCCCGAATCCTTCCATCCTCCCAGACTTGAATTCCCCTTCGTAGGTTGCACCGCTCGGCCATGAAAACTTGCCTTTCCCCGAAGCCTTCCCACGCTTCCATTCCCCTTCGTACATACACCCATCCTTCCACAAATACTTCCCGGATCCGTTCGGAAACCCGCCGGAGAACGTTCCCATATACAGATCTCCGTTTGGTAACGGTTTCTCAACGTCCACCGGAGGCGTGGGTGTGACGCGCCTCGTGGTTCCTTGAGATTTCGATCGCACCATCGGAGTTAGAGCTAATAACAACAAATCGTCGCGTCTCTCTTCCTCCGCTTCGTCTCCTTCTCCAGCTCGTAGCTTCTCTCTCTTGCACACCTCTTCTAGAACCTTCTTCTCGACGGCGACGCTGCTGCTCAGTAAGACTTCAGTAGCTTCTTCTTCGCTCACCAGCGGTTCACGCATCATCTATTCATCAGATAAAACCCTCGCTTCCACCCTCGATTTCTTCTCGATCTTCGAAATGGCATTCGACTACGCAACTCGATTCTGGAGAATCGAAGATTACAGCTAGATCCGTCGGAACAAATTGTAAACTCCGGTGAGAAAGAGGAAAACAATTTCCGGCGTTTCGAGCCGTGGATTTGAAATCAAGGAGGAAAATCTCCAGATTATAACTCCGTTGAGAAACTTTTCAAATCTGAGAAGAAACCTTGGTGAGATTCCTCCTACAAACGCCACAGGGAAAAAAAGAAAAGAAAAGGAGAATGAAGCATCAAAAGAAAAAGAATAAAGAGACAGAGAGAGAGAAAGAAAGAGAAGGAGAGAAATTATAAAACCTTTGAAAAATGAAATTGAATTTATTAGGGTAAATTAGTAAAATTCCATTAAAGGAAGAAAGAGCTGCAGTAGTAGTAACCTGTCGACAAAAAAAAAACGTTGCAGTAAACTATTGGGAAGTGGCCACAAAAAGCCCACCAGCCCGAGGAAAAAAAAAAGTCTTATTGTTATGACCAATGTATTGACTTCAGTAATTACGGGATTTGGGAAACAAATATTACGGGATATATTATTACACACAGAATATCAATAATTTTTGTCACACAAGAGATAATTCATTATTAAATTGAATAATACGACAGTGTGTGGGGTACGTGTTAGTATTTTCGATGTGTAAAAACTTCCGAGAAAGGGTAAAAAACAAACAATAATCACCTGACCAAGTTTAACGTATGTGTGTGTGTTTTTATTATTTGACAACAACCAGTTTATGTAAGGATATTTTAAAGTATAATATATATATATTCTTTTTTTCCAATATATCTCAACTTTTATTATGATTCTACTATAAAACATCTTATTTTAATTATAAAAAAAAAATAACACTAACCAAACAAATATTAACCTGTTCAAAACTGGAGTATATTAACAAAAGTTGATACGTCAAAATTTAATCAAATTTAATCATTTAATAAAATCATGATCATTTATATCCAACATTTTAATTAATAAACAGGTTATTGATATCTGTATTTCTACTGATTTAAGAATTTAGTTTGGATTTTGCTCAAAAGTTCATCTTTGTTTATTTGTTATAATCAGGAATGAATAACTTTTTTTAAACGAAAAATAACATAAAAATAAAATTGTCGGATAGCGTTCGTTGTTTTAAAGTTAAACATATGAAATGTAGCAATCTACTGTTCACTTGTGAAATCAACACATTCACAAAACAAAGAAATTACTCTAATGAACATACAAGGATAAATACTGGCAAATTTTATGCATAGGAAACTATTTTACTCGTCAACACATAATCAATGCAGATGGGTATGCGTGCATGAAGTAATATGTTCACTCGTCAACATATAATCGCAGTGAGTTAACTTCTTCTACCGTTTGAACAACAATAAAATCATTAAAATATTAGATCTCGAACCTTACAACTATTCACTGGTTATTAGTTTACTATACGTTCTTAAATACAAGTCGTAAGGAATAATTGTAATAAAAAATAAATAAAATTAAACTAGTGCCGGCGTGCCCTACGTTGTATGGATTTAATGTGACACCCACGTAAAAGACCAAATGATTAGTTATGTTTATCTCCTTCTTCGAAAAACACCTAACAATTAAATATATTTTGACGATTATAACAATTAAATATATTTATAAATAAAAATGTGACCAATTATCAACAAAATATCGTCGCTAACGGAATGAAGTAATAAAACCAGGTGATAGTGTTTGATAACTACATAATAGATAAAAAACTCTGTTATCATGTGTGATTTTATCATGTAATGTTTGCTCAGTCGCCGATCGGTGTTCAATTTCGGTGCCCCGTTGTATTTAGAGTCGAAGATGAATCGAAGTGCCATATATTGAGGAATTGTTATACTGTGTAGATTCATATACGCACATACACAATTGTAAAATAATACACATATATGTTTATCAGTTTTAGTATATATACACTGCATTAGATTAAAAAAACGTATATAGAAATAGAGCAAATCGTTATTTGATGATCTAGTACGAAGGTGAAGTATGTTCTTTTTAAATTACAAATATACAAGTATGTTCTTCTTAAATTACATATATATATATATATATATATTAGTTTTGAAGTTTCCGGTTATATAAAAGATAAAGAAGAGAGCATCTACTATTATATTTTTGTATATTTATTCGCCCAGACTTCTACATCCGAGACTATTAGTCGAGTCTCAAATAATCCAATGCAAAGTTCTTAACTTCTCTTGTGAATTATGATCACAATAAGAATATATCACCATGCAGTCGGAAAAAAAAAGATAATAATATATTACCAAATTCAAGAACCCAATGTCATAATTCAATATTGATATATGCTTATGTTTTCATGATTATGCAACTAGAATATTGCTCTCAAAACGAGCAAAATGGCAACTGTAGTTTTCTTTACTGTAGCGTTAAAAATTGATTTCAAGTAAAATCGAAGGTTATTCTACTTTAGAAAAGGCCAAAAAAAAAAGAAAAACCGTTGAAGATTCTTATTGTATACAATGCATCGTTCTCACCAATGATCAAATAAGTATAGGATCTCATTCTGTCAGATAGAGCTATATAATGTTTAATTATTCAATAGCTTCTTATTGGTTAATTTGATTAAACTAAAGTGTTTTAAAACAGTGGGATAATACCCATCTTTTTTTTGTTTTTTTTAATACCCATCTTAATAATGCAGGAAACTACATGTTCCCCCTTTATATTTTGATAGGGTCTATTTTGATATCGATAATAATATAAATAATATTCCATGACTGAGCGACGTTGTAAGAATTTCATTAAAATATTTGATCACATTAGATTTGGATTCGCCATGATTCGGGAAAAAGAAGGACATTAGAGACAGATATGATAAGAGACAGAACGACTCCTAATTTGACGATAAATAAATAAAATAAATCCCTAATTACGCGTCATTATCTTTGATAGTATTTCAATTACATAGTAGAGAGGCGAAGAAGAAGCTCTTTTCTACAGTTGGAAACGATCGAGCTGAGCTGGCATGTATATGGGACCTACCTTTCGAAACATTGGCCTGTCACGGCCCACCAAATACCGTCGTCTATGAAGAATCCAACGACATAGACGGTGCCGCGTGTTGAACAGTTTTGCGGTCACGATTGTAACCACGTCATCAGAATTTTAGAGCGAACCACCTGTCTCGGGCTAGCGTCAAAGATCCTACGAAGATTACGTTTCTCAGAGTAATCACGTGCAAGTGTGCAACGGCCTTGTTACACACGTGCAACGGTTAAGATTATTTTTTGAGCTCGTGAAATTTGGGGAATTTGAGTTAACCTTTTTTTTTTAATTCAACAACCAGCGAGTAATTAGAATTTGAACGAGTAAACAAATCAAATCAAATCAAAATATTCCACCATTCGATATAGGTATCAAATTGTTTCGATAATAAGATAATTCGTAAATTTGAAATGACAATAGTGATAGTTATATTTTGTTGACCAGGAGAAAAAGAATTAATAATAATAAAAATGTATAAAATGCAAAGATGAAAAGAATGAGAAGAGAAAAGACAAAGAAGATGAATGACCGGGATAAGTCAGATAGCCGTCCGCCGACCTACAACGTACGCATCAAACCAAAGCCTCACAATTTATATTTCCCAATTCCAAACCCTATTCAAATTATATATTTCACTAGACAACAGACAAAAATATCATCTGATTATAGCTGAATGTCGTTTTTTTCTTACATGAATCTGCTTTTTTTTTTACCAGCCATATAACTATAATTTTAGATATCGAAATGTAAGAAAAGGTAGTCATTACACAGTAGGTAAACGACATTTAAATTTTCTACAACATTAGTACAGCTTAGTAATTAAATGAGAAGAACAAATTATTCATCGATTTTTCTTCTTTCTGAGTGATTCTACTATAATTACTTTGATAAATCAGTAAAAATAAGAAAATTTATGTGTCACTTACTCTACTATTTCTGCTCATTTGACTATACCCATCAAATCTATATTGGTACGAATCAAACAAACTATCTTTATATATATATAAGTATATATATTTTGGGGGATAAAAGAGTGTTCGAATGAAAAATTTCAACTATGGTTAAAATTGGTATGCTTTTTGTGTAACCAGGAGTTTGTGAGCGTAGTGTACTTCTTTGTACATTAAAAAAAAAGATTATTGTCCAATGAAAGAAACTAGAAATATACTATTAACTTTTGGTCACGCCAGGATATGAAATGTATCGTGGAGGTGGTGACGTACGCAAGTAAAGCATGGAGAGAGAAGCTCAGATATTGATGTAACAACAAGATTTCGTTGGTTCTGAAGAAGAATCAAAGCCCATTCCTCAATAAGCCTTACACCAACGTCTTGTCACTCCTGATTTCACCAAACTCATCCTTCCTTACCATTTTATTAATTATATTAGACTGAAAATCCTCAATTTTATTCACAATTTCAGCCAATTTATTTACGTTTTTGTAAGACCATCTTCAACCATGCACCAAAACACCAAATTTGGTGTTGATTTTTCTCCAATGATGTACCAAATGTTGCACCAAATTTTTTTTTTTGTGTTTTGTGAATAGTGTTACACCAAATTTGGTGCAACACTATTCACAACACCAAACATTAAAATATTATTTTTTTCTCATTTACTCAAATAAGTATATTACTATTTATTAATTAATTAAATTATATTAGTTTTAAGAATGTAGGATCCATTCTTGTAATTTAGAATTGCACAAAATTTTGTTATTAATATATAAATAAATTAAGATTAAAAATTCATAATAAAATTTAATTAAACATTTAAACATAAATTATTAAATTAAAACAAAAAAACATTTAAAAAAAACTAATACAACAAAATAATTTTAAAGACATAATATAACCTTAAACAATAATCTAATAGTCTGGATTACCATTTCCGCTAAAATAATGATAGTACGGGGTATAATCTTGTTGGTCACTTGGTGATATTAGGTCTTCTTTTTGATTTTGTTCTCCTTGGATATGGTCTCCTTGAATTTGTTCTCCTTGAGTTGGATCTCCTTGATACTGAAATTCTCGATATTGAGATTCACGATATTGGCTTCGAGAACTCTCTCCGTGCCCTCCATATTGGTTTGATGGCGATCTTCTACTCAGAATTTCCGCTCTTTGACTTTCAATATATGCACGACATGCTGGATCGGTTATAGAACTCAAATCCGCGAATAATATTTTCTGCTCTTGTTTCATTCTTCGTAACTCAAGCTTCTGTCTTCGAATTTCAACTTTTTCAGAAGAATGTTTAGCAAGAGCTTTGGTAAGCTTTTCATTTTGCTCCAAAATTTTTTGAAAATTTTCATCATCTTGTTGTTTTTTCTTTGCTTTTTTCACACCCATAGGTCTCTGAGATAAATTAGTAGTGGTTTCTTCGTTATTCATATTTAGATCAAATGAATTCATACCAGGGGATGGCGATGATTCATCTTGGAATGATGGAGATGACATCACATTACGACTTTCTTCTTGGAATGCAGAGAATCTAGAATTCTGACTGTTTGAAAATTTTTCACTTCCTTTAAGGATGGGCCAGACATGATCGAATTTGAATCCAGACTTGTAATTGGCATCTTGCATTAATAGCATCTTCGCTTGGTTTAGCTGATTTAATATTAACAAGAAAAAATGCAAATAAGTTAGGAAGTACAATAAATTAAGATAGATAGAGCAAGTACAACTAATCAAAGTTAAAATATACTTCCAATGTCTTGTTCGGAAGCACCGCTGGGATTCTTATTTTCAATTTGGTTAACACATCCCCTCAGCTTGGAGACTGCAGACAGAATTTTCCCCATTCGACTTCTTAAAGATCTTTGTGGTCTTGGTCGAGTACGAAAGAACTCAGATTTTTCATATTCAGCATGAACTCTTAACCAAAACCTATCGGATGTTTGATTTATCCCTATGATTGGATTTTGGGAAACATCAAGCCACACATGAGATAAATGTTTATCTTCTTCAATAGAATATGAAACAGAGCGACTTGTAGTCATTTTAGAAAAAAAAATAGAATGTGGTAATAAAATGAATGGAAGATGTGTGATCATTCAAAGAGAAGTATAGGTTTATATAGAGAAGTTGGATCTTGGCCGCAGAAATCCAACGGCTGAGATTGATCCATATTTTTCATAAAGATGATACAGACATTATTTGACTAATGAATGCAACGGTTAGATCTTTGCTTCAGAAATCCAATGGCTGAGATTGATCCGTTTTTTTCTCGAATATGATAATTGATATAAAAATGATGTGACTAATGAATGCAACGGTTAGATCTTTGCTGCAGAAATCCAATGGCTGAGATTGATCCGTCTTTTTCTTGAATATGATAATTGATATAAAAATGATGTGACTAATGAATGCAACGGTTAGATCTTTGCTGCAGAAATCCAATGGCTGAGATTGATCCTTCTTTTTCTCGAAGATGATAATTGATATAAACATGACATGACTAATGAATGCAACGGTTAGATCTTTGCTGCAGAAATCCAATGGCTGAGATTTATCCTTCTTTTTCTCCAAGATGATCATTGATAGACAAGATGTGACTAATGAATGCAACGGTTAGATCTAGGACGAAGAAATCCAACGACTCAGATCAATTTTCCTGCACTATAAAATGAGTATCATGTTTAGAAATTGTGAAGAATATCACCATCAAATTCTATTTAGTTTCATAAAAGATGAATTTCAACTATGGTAGTTCATCTTATATACCAAATTCTTCGTCTTCTTCTTCTTCTTCTTCTTCATCTTCTTCAGAGGATGATGATTTACAAAAGCAAGTAGTAGCTCAAATTATTGCAAACAACAATTTTCTCATGAACAATTACCTATTTAACTCGGAGGGTTCCCATGGTGGATCTATTCCAGGTCATATAGTTATCAACCGCGACCGGGAAAGTGCTTCTAGAGGCTGTAGCCGATTATGATCTTTGGATTTGGCATGCATTTTTTGGGCTACCTGGATCTAACAATGATATTAATGTACTAGAGGCGTCTCATCTTTTTGCTAATCTAGCTGAAGGAACTGCTCCAACCGCTAATTATGTTATTAACGGAAAAAATTATAATATGAGTTATTATCTAGCTGATGGTATATATCCGAAATGGTCCACTCTTGTTCAAACAATTCATGATCCACGTGGCCCCAAAAAGAAATTATTTGCAAGGAGGCAAGAAGCATGTAGAAAAGACGTGGAACGTGCATTTGGAGTATTGCAGTCAAGATTTGCAATTGTGGCAGGACCATCACGCTTTTGGAGTAAGAAAGTTTTACATGATATAATGACAACCTGTATCATAATGCATAATATTATCATAGAGGATGAACGTGATGTTGATGCAATAATTGAAGAACGAGTGGAAGTCCCATCTGCAGAAGTTGAGATGGCGAGTAATGAAGATGTTCGATTTCAAGAATTCTTAGCTCGGCATAGGCAAATCAAGGACCGAGAAGCTCATATTGAACTTCGAAATGCATTAATTGAACATTTGTGGTTAGAATATGCTAATTCTAAAAATTAGTATAATGTAATTTCTTTTTAGTATTTTTTTTTTATTGATTATAATTTTTGTTTTTTATCACCGAATGTAATGTTATAACAAATTTATAATTAATCTATTTTATGAATAATAAGTACTCATCAAAATATGAAAAATAAAGAGAATTTTAAATTTAATAATATAATAATATAAAAGATTGTTTTTAGTGTGAGATTTGGTGTTGTTGTTGGAGATGAAAAAAAATACTATTCACTTTTACACCAAATTTTACACTATTTGTGACACCAAATTTGGTGCTATGGTTGGAGATGGTGTAAGTATCTGGTTCCAACGTGCGGGATGTTTCTTTTGACCCAACGTCAGAACAGAACCGCAGCAAATCTTGTGGTTAATTACTTGGGGGTCATGTAATTCAAAGTACGCAGATGTTTTGTTTTCTATTAGTAATTATTAACGAGTTATAAAGAAATGTGTCACGTACTATTGTCCAATGAATATAGAAAACAAGTACAGCCGTATTTAAAGTGTTGTCCATTTTTCTTGGTTTATCTGAGTAATTTTTTAATGAAGAGAACACGTTGAACTTGAAGTTTCAATACGTTTATTCTCCTTTAAATTAAAAAATGGTTATATAATTTATTGGACTTGCGTAATGGGTTTTAAATTTGGGAGAGACTACAAATACGTCTCTTTGTCGTGTAAGCTTGAAAGGGAAAGCCCATGCTAGTAGTTTTAGTCTTTTCTTTCGTACTTTTCTGCTTCATTCATTTTTCGATATACGAAACATTTTTGTTTAATAAAAAAGAAAGAAATATAAAACTGAAAAGGAAAGCTTTATTATCAGATTGAACAGTCAGTCATACGTCTTCATCTTTGGCAGATATTTAACCCGTTTTATGTTAGCTGCATTCTATTCTTTTTTTTTTGTGGTCTTAAATATCAACTTAAAAAATTAATCTGCTAAGTAGTAAGTACATTACATGATTCGATGATTTTAATATTATTTTAATGCTTAGTCGTGAGTTCGTGTCCATTATGTAGTGTTTTCATGCATTAGATTAATTTGTTGACGGTGCATACAGCTAACGACTACGTTAAATAATTACATTCATATATATGGATAATGTATTATAGACGTTTACAAACTTCATAAGGCTACTTTGAATGCCCCAATCAAACTGAATTATCACATACATTGACTTCATCAATATCTTAAACCAAAAATTAAAATTGTAATATCGACATTTATAACCTAATGATATGTTTAGCAACGCGCGCGATCCGTGGAGTTTTGAGATAATTAATGTATTTTGCATGCTTGACTAACTTTAATACAAAGTAGTGTCCGCCTGTAAGCTCGTCCATTAAAACTATTAAATCTTGTTGTAATTACAACAAATCTCATTAGTTCGTTAAAAAAAAAAATCTCATTAGTTTAAAGATAATGTGATTTGTATCTGTAAGGTATTATTGACCTAATCTCTCATTAGATACCGAATCTGATGGTATTTGCAATTATCAGATTCAAAATTTTGACCTGTGTGGCTGTTTATATTACTTTCTATAAATTGTTGGATAAGTTTTGGTTGTTATATATGTTATGAAATGTTTACTGAATATTTTGAATTCACAAAATATTTTTTTTAATAACATCTAGGAGTTTAACTTATAATTTTCCTTTTAATTCTGCATCATTTTTATTTGATATTTTACATTAAAAACATGCTTGACTCGAATAAAAAAATAGTTGTTGGGTTTATAACTTTACAAATTCTTTGTAGGGTAGACGATTCAAAATTAATTTTCAAGATTTACATGAGAAAGTCTAATTGGGCCTAACCTGTATAGACTATACGACAAACTCATGGGTTTCACAAAATGGCCCATAATTTACACGAGAAAACCATATCAAACAATGGCTTTTCCATTATTACGCTAAATAATCGACTTTAATTTTATTGCCAAAACAAATTATACGTTGAGAGAGATAATTCATGAGAAAAGATTGTTTACTGGATCATAGATTTGTTATTAACGTTCTTGAGAGAATCTACGAGATGATATTGGTATTGCTTAAGCGTCATGACCTCATTATGCAATGCGACGAAATTGTTCTTCATTATATCTTCGCAGTCTTTAATGATTGTCTCGTCAACTTCTTCTTTCATTAATCTCTGTCTTAGCTTCTCGGTCGAAAGTGAGACATTAGTTGTCGTTGACATTAGCTCTTCGTTTGACATTCGTGGAAACGTTTCTTTAACAGCTTCCAAGGCTTCAATCCAAGCCGTACGATCTTCGCTTGTTGCTGCTCGTAGATGCAGACTTTTCGTACCGGTGAACACAGTAAATCTCTTGCCGTCTGATATGCTTTGTCCGATCGTTGAGACCTGTTCTTAAATACAAGAAGTCAATCACTTATGCAATTGGGAGTGGATTTGAAAAAATAAAACTGATTGTGATGTATCTTACATTTTGAAATTACTGGCGTATTCCAAAATAAATCGAAACCTTGAGATGAATTCGGCTGAGAATCACATATGCAACTAATTGGGAGTGTATGTTTTATTTCTAAAATATATGGGGCACATTTGAAACCTTTCGTAAAATTTGGCTGATTACTGCAATTTGTGTATGTTTTGTAATTTGTAAACGTTTGGGGTACATTTAAAATGTTTATAAAAGACTGAGGTGTTGCGCGAAATAAACAAATCAAACCTTGAGGTGAATTTGGCCGAGCGGTTTTCCGGGACTATGAACATCACCGCGTTTGCTGTGGCGGCAGATGAACCGTAACGATTCGCCGCCGATTAGTTTAGATCGCCGATCCATCTCGACGGAGAGAGAGATCTTATCCGGACCGTGGATTCTGTAATACGACAAAACTCCATCGTGGAGGACAAACCACCGTCGTTTCCACCCTTTGCCGTAGTTTACCCATTTGTAGAGGATTCCGGCGATGCCGTTTCCCGATGGAGGACGATCCTCGTTCGTACGAGGACCAGCAGAGAGGCTATACCGGAGATCGTGGTCGCGATTGGTGGTAGTCGATTGTGGGATGTTTAAAGAAGCGGATCGAATCGTCGTCGGATTGGATTTCGCGGCGACTGGAGAAGACATTGTTAGAGAATAATTGGAGAAATTTGGTTTAAGGAGCTAAACCGGCGATTGAAAGGAGTGAAAGGAGGGGATGATTAAAAAAAAGTTATGGAGAGAAAGAGAGAGAGAGGAATAAGGAGAAAGAATTTCCAAAGTTGCGAAGTTTGCGTGGGACGCAAGGTCGCTTGAGGTGCTAATATCTGTGGAGAAACAATGTACAAAGGTTTAAAAAATGGAAGAAAAGTTTGAATTTAGGTGAAGTGTCACGTTGTATTATAGGATTAGAAAACTAATATCGTATTATTTGATAGGATTGGTATGAAATTGTGTATTAAAAATATATATGAAGGAGAAACCGACGTTTGGTTTTATATTTCTAAAATAAATATCTAAAGAATATGTAGACTCATAGGTTTCATCTGCTTGAACGTGGAGAAGACTAAAATGATACCATTCCATTACACAAGAAATCAAACAAGACACACTATAAGCAAACGTCTCCTCTTCCAATGCTAACAATTAACATACCAATTTACAGGATCCCAAAAAAAAACCTTAGAATCAATCAGACAACTACTACTTACTGTTTTTCTCCTTCAAGACCTCGTAAACGATCCTGGAGTTGAACACAAAGTTCTAACAGATCATTTCTTGGAAGAGGAACAGGATCTATAAGCAGTTGCTCAAGCTGAGGAATGGCTTTATGGTCATCACTACCAGAAGACTCAGCTATGTGACTGAGCAGTTGAATGTTTCGGACTCGAGGCTCAGGTGGAATAGGCGGGGCAAGGAAAGGATGTTGGAGAAGCTCAGGGATTCTCCATCTTTGATTACGGTCCCAAGCTAGACATTTCTTCATTAGGTCGATAAGCCACGGGTTCGAGAGTTGATTGTAAGTAATCTCATGGTTTGGATCGGTTATGACTTTGAACTTTGCCCAGAAGGTCTTATAATCTGCAAAAGGTGTCCTTCCATACACCATCTGGTAAAGTATGCAACCAAGTGACCAAATATCTGATGGCCTTCCACATTTTATAGTGTTTCCATTTTCATCGCTTTCGTTGCACATGAATGCTTCTGGTGACATGTAACTCAAAGTCCCCACCTGTCGCAATACATATCCCGCTGATATCAGTAGCAGGCAACTGAAAACAAGTATTTGTATTAAAGAGGATGATGATGACAAAAACAGAAACTTGGGAGGATTTTACCTGTGAATCTCGTTGAATATTCGTAGTGTCGCTATTAATGGCCTTGGCGATACCAAAATCAATAAGCTTTAAAAAGCCTCTGACAAGAAGAAAATTTGCAGGTTTCAAATCAGAGTGCACAATTCGTTCCTCATGTATGGTGTTCACAGCTTGAAGTATTTGCTGCAATCGTTTATAGTTAATATGAGAATCAGTGCTTCTTCTAGTATCCTTGTAACAAGGCCCCAAAAATAAAAAAAAGTTGATGGGTTGTGTAAGAACCTGCCAGTAAAACCGAAGCCAATTTTCATCAATTGTCCGGTCAGATCCTTCAATTTCCTTCCATTTTTGGGACAACATGTGAGCCAGATCGATTTCTCCATATTCTAGTACCATATATATAAATCCATCGTCCTTAACTCTTCCATCTTTGTTGATCATTGTGCCATTCAAAACCTCCTGGAGTAAAGTCTTATCCGTGACCTAATTGCAAAAGAGAATGTTGTGTTATGTTTGTGATGGAAATTGCCAACCATGCACTTAGATCACCAAGCTAGCTAAAAGGAAGTACCTCATAGTCTACTAGCTGAATGATGTTGGTTTTCCCTTTCAGCTTCTTTAAATATCCAATTTCTTGGCAAAATCCATATGCCGTAGCATAGTCACGACCCTTGAGCTTGATTTTTTTGAGAGCATATATGGTACAATCCGAAGAAATAACCTTGTGGACCTCACTGCTTCCTCCGCTTCCTATCTTGCCAAGCCTCTGATAGAGCTTCCCGTTGACTTTAAAGAACAAGTCTGGATCATAATTTTTTTTACGAGGCGCGGATGTCCCTTTGCTACTTGCGACCTTTTCATGCTTATCTGGTTTTTGTGGCTGCGAGCTAACACTGGTATGCAACTCATCAGGTAGACGAGCATTAGACTGACTGGAAGATGCCACTGGAACTTCAATTTCTGTGGTGCACTGTTGATGCTTAGACATATTTGTCTCCTTCACTCTTACTTCTGGATCCATAGCTGAGCTTGGCATCTCAGATAAAGGAGCATCCTTATTGACATGCAGAATGTTGTTGTCCTTGGAAGAAGGATGAAAAGAAGGCAAGTTCCCTTGAGTTTGAACAGCATGGGCATTTACATTCTGATCAGCCTCAACATAAGAACGAGAGACTTGGGTAGTCGCGTTTAACATAGGAGCTGAAGACGAATGAATTAACGTAGTTGTGGCACATGATGACCCCATGACAGAACATTGAGATGCAGGTTGATTCAAGAAGTTGCGAAATTCTCCCAGCTGACCCTGCATCTTTGCCAATGATGATGAAACCCTGTATTCAGATTTCAAACTGATCTCAGAGTCAACAGATTGGAGATTCTGATGTTTACGAGCACCAAGATTTGATGCTTCTGCCTGATTGGTTGCATCCCATTCCATATCTGCAAGGACAAGTCATAAAGATTCTTAGCTCAAACCGGACAAAAAGCATGCCTGTGTGAATTGAGCCGAGGAGAGATTAATTGATAGTTGTTAAAAAGAGCTGAGTATCGTATAAGATACCAGTGGTTCAGCTTTCTGGCAACTTTCAAGTATTACATACAACAGCAACGCAAACAAATAAGGGATATCCAGACGAAAGGCGAGGGACATTACCATGAGATGTGAGGGTGCTGCCAATGAGAGATTGGACCTTTTTGTGTGCATTTTCGTTCCGAGATCCTACAACATCCAGATTGCTTTCTAAACTAGCAAAAGCAGGAGGTTTTGTCAAATCCATCTGTCTGTCTGATGGGTTGAAATTCTCGCCAAACATAGTTCCTGAAAGCGAAGGAGGCGTAATGGACGCATTCTCTATAGATTCTCCAGCAACAGAAGTGGCTAAGTTTCTTGAATCCTGTGTCAAAGTGTTGGCAGCAAGACTCTGACTCAGCGTAACAACATCCTGAGATTTCGGCCCTTCAGCTGTAGAAACTGTTTCCAAACGGGAACTTCTTGAAGGTTGTCGTTGCGGAACAACACTTCGCCGAGGCCCTATAGTACTCGTCTGCATTTTATCTGGAGACAAAGCTATAAGAGATCCGTTGCAACTAAGGAGTTTAGGGTACCCAAAAAAACAAAATCAATAATGGTGAAACCAAAATCAAAAGGATTGAGAAGCATATCCCACACCACAATCCACAAACCCAGTAGCCTAACGATTGGCAAGGATTATGAAGTAGACAACCTAGCGGAACTAAACTTTCCTGAAAAGCCCTAAATCCTAGGGTGTAAAACGAGATGAGAGAAATGCGAAACCCAAAGAAACCATAAATTAAACAAATGAAAGTTCCAGAAATAGTGATTCCTCTTCACAGCCCAGAAAGAGATAGAGAGATTACTGAGTGGGCGGTGGCGCTTGAAAGCGGCTTGAAGATGGCGTATAAGTTCAGGCGAGGAAGAAGAAGAAGACGACGATTCCTGGTTTAAGGTGGGGCGGACCATACTCTTCGGAGGTTTATCCGGTGGGACCGGAAGGTTAGCCTCCCTGTCCATGGCTGGATCTCAACTGCATCTCCGAATTTGCTACAGCGTTGAACGGAATCACAACGAGAGAAGCAGATTCAAATCTTCAATTTCTGGTGATTACAAAGTGTTGAGGCTCCAATTAGTTTACTGCCATGGCCGTCGAAGAAGAAATCACCCACACTCTCTCTCTCTATCTCTATCTCCAGAGATTAGTAGACACAAAGAAATGGTTTGAAATTCATGGAGGAAAGGAAAGGAGAGACCGAGAGAGAATGTGTTTGAGATTCGAACTCCCTATTGCCGCTTCTCTTTCTCTCTCTCTATTGAGACACTTGATTTACACTTCCAATTAATTAGAATTAAGATCCATTGGGCCTTTTGAAAAAACAAATAATCCACGTGTTTTTTGGGCCAATAGTACAGTTCTCTTCTACGACGTCGTTTGGTAGATGCAAAATTGCAATCGCCTGTTTCTCTTCTTCCATTATCGTTGATTTCTTCTTTTTTTGATATGATTAAATAAACTACAAGACAAACGTTTGTTTGATGTTACTTGAAACCTAATGGCTATAAACGCAAATATCTGACACGAATAAACAAGCGCAAGACAAATGAGAGACTCACAGACATTCAAGTTTGCATTCATAGAGAAGCATACTCTGTATAGTGCACATACATCATATGAAGCATATATGAATATGAATTGTACCCAGAAATATATAACTTTACCCAAATCCAGTTCCCTTTAATCCCTAAAAGGAGGAGGATGTGAGCAGTACATATTTATTCAAAGAGCAAAGTTGTACATTAGGCATTTCAATATGTTGGTTTTTTAAAAGGTATGAACTGAGTTTTACTCATTGCTTAAAACAACCATGGATCCATAACAAACGCAGATCCAACTCTATCGCGCGGGATCAGTCTTAGCTCAGAGCCATGCTTGAGGAACACATTTCCTGAGATCATTCATACACACCACATTCATTAACATTTGAACAAAAATTGGTGGAAAGCAAAAATAATCATAGATCAAGAAGCTTGATTTCTATTTATATGTAATGGCCACATTTCTCTTTAGTTGCTGAGCTTTTGAAATGCAAACACTTGGAATGGCATAAAAGATAGAACTGAGAGAAAGCTTTAAGTTTAGGATTTTGCAAACCAACAAAAACAATCATCCAAGTCAAAATGTTTAGGATTATGAAATTACCTGCACTTTGTTGGGGATTGATCCCGATCCCATCTGCACACATTAATACACAGATACATCACACCAGAAATCTTGAGTATCGATAGATTGTGGATAGAATGAGTCGAGACTTATTAATGGGTGACGACTACAATCAAAGATTAGTTGGGTGTGTCTCTTCAAGATCTACCGGCACAAGAAAGCTTTGATTTTTAAACTTTGTAGACACAGAAAACAAGCTGAGAGAAAGAGTTACTTGCAATACATAATTCATGTCTAAGAGAATTCTTGTGACAAATCTGTGAACATAAAAACGAACGAAATTCGAAAGGGAACACAGTGTTTTTTTTTTTAAAAAAGAGTTCGATCTGTATCCTGTCTTCAGGCTAATCCTTTCTAGATCTTCTCGCACAAGAATGCTTTAAATCTTCAGATTTTTTTTAAAACAATGTAGACAAGGAAAAAGCTGAGAGAAAGAGTTACATGCACTCTAAAATTTAATGGTCTAAGACTGCGAAAAACATCAGTGAAGGAAATATATGCAATTATAAGCTTATCCCCTAGGTCTAAAGAACACAATTGGGATGTTCTTATTTAGGTTGAAGATTCATTAGGAGAACACTTTTCAAATTCACCTATCGTACAATATCAAGACGGTAAAAATGCCCAAAATTCGATAGTTAATAGATTCCGATTGATTTCGATGAAGCTACGAATCATATGAATATCATGGAGGTTTTAATTACCATTAGTGATGATGGCGCTGGTTTGCGGAGGAACCTTGAATTCCTCTGCTGCAAATTTCAGAACCGCCGTGAACGGAGCTCCCTCTGGAACGCTGAAACTGGAATTCACCGATCCGGAAAAGACGAAAAAAAAAAAAAAAGATCAATCACAATTCACAAGCGAAATCAAACGCGTATAAGACCGAAGAAAAAAAAAACGGAAATCCGAAAAATCACGATTCGCATACACTTTGAAAGGAAGCTTAGGGTCCGAAGTCAAAGTGACTTTGAAGGAGACTTTTCCACCAGTGGCCATTTTCCGATGAGGGAGGAGATCAGGCTAGAACGGTGAAAATGGCGTTTTCGATTTCTTCCTTTTGTTTTCGTCGCGTTTCAACGACGCATACACCAAGAGGGTTCACGAGTCGTGTGTGAAACCAGATAAAATGCCAACATAAGTTGGGTTTCTTTCGGCCCATTTATTGACATTTTTTAGACCCATTTAATTCCGGTGTTCATCCTTTGTTTAAGGTAACTAATTACACATTTTATGTAGATAACTATTTTTTTTTTGTTTGCAATTATGTAACTTCATCTTTCTTTTGACGCCCAAATCAACCTTAAATTTACTTTGAAATTAACTTTACTAACACACGAAAACTTATAACATTAGCAAGCAAATGAGAACTTTTCCGCGAGAAAAAAAAAACAGTAAAAAAAACTTGTTTATCTATAAACGTAGTCACGAAATTAGATAGCTAACATTAGCTAAAAACAACAAGAGACAACGTCAATAAAAGCCACAATCTTCCAATAATCATCCTAAATCCACCAGAGCCGGTACCATCGCTGCATACCAACTTGTTATCGTGGTACGTGCACACCGGCTTCTTCCTATTCACATAAAACATACAAAAATAAATGAAAAAAAAATTGTTCAAAAATATAAGAAATGAGAAAGTTTATATAGAACGAATCATGGTTAAAGACTCAACTGTTTATTTTCTGGTTTCAAAATTAAACATTATAGCTTGCTTCTAAATGTTAAAATTTATTTACATATATATTTGAAATCTAAACCACTTGTTAATCAAATATTGTGGAAATGATAAATGCAAAATCGATACATAGTAAGAAAATTATATGAAAGATTGTTTTTTTATTTGTAGACAAACCTGGAGGAACAGAAAGAGATGACGTAATCAGTGCCGGAACAAGTGAAGATACTGGTCGGATCATCATAAGCATAACTATAAGCAGTAGGACAAGCTTGCTTGAAGATCTTCGAGTAAAAAGTTGGTTGACACACCACAGGATTCCCATAAACTCCTCTGCAACAATATTCATCTCTATCGAACACATCACAAGCACTCCTACACGATATCACTTTGCCGTTTGATTTCACGGCGAGCTCCTTCGGACATTGCGGCCTCAGGTCGGCGACGCAGCCGGCGACACTACAATTTCCTTTTCCGTTCATCGGAGTCACCGACATCGGGAGATTAAATCCGTCGACGAGACTCACGTCGTAGAAATCCACCGCGGCTAGTGTGAATTCCGCGAGTGAAGCTGGTGGTTTTCCCGAGGCGGAGCATTTTAGAGTTGAGCCGCATGAACCGGTTTCGCAGGTTCCGGTTCCGGTTTTGTCGAAATTACAACCGGTTCGTCCCCATATTCGACCTGACCAGCCTACTGGTGCGTTGAATACGATGGATTGTCCCGGTTTGAGCTCGAATCCTCCGCCGTTGAAGTTTTCTCCGGGAGTTATCGCCGGCCAGATTATTTGGTTACATGAGTTCACGATCGTGAATACTCGAGCTGATTCGGACCATTTTGTCCCTGTGGATTTTTATATTTTCACAGGAGTTATAATCACTAATCAGTACTACCCAACCCTTAATATTTAGGGAGATGAAACATTAAACATATCCATGAAATCGTATAATATGCCAGACAAAGATACTAAGATCTAACTGGCAGAGGAAGTTGAATGTGTATACGAATACATGTGTATACGGGGGTATATATAGAGACAGACATTCACGATGTGAAATATAATATAAAAATTGAATAGTTTACCTGATAATAGTGTGAGAAATAGTAACAAGATCCTTTGTGACAAATTGAAAGGAATTGGCATCCTAACGATTAAGATGTCCTACTTTTTAGTTCGTGTAGGGTTCAGTTTTACGGATAATTATTGAAGTGAGATTGCCTGTTTTAAGGGAGGAAGATAGAATAACTTGCATGGAGAGTCTATAGGTTAAATTATAATAATCGTTTCAATTAAGGTTCCTTGTTTCGGTATTTCGGAAAAGTTAAACTTATTCCTTTCCTGATGGTTCATGCAAGTATTCTTTGGGATGATTTTTTGGTTAAGGTTATCAAGTCTAAAGGGTTGTGATATACATACATAATAAAAATCGTGTTATCAAAAGAAGATAAACTTATAGATATATTGATAACTACATATATTGTTCTTTATAGTGTATATATATCTATACTTATTGATAATAAAAATTAGCAGTATATGTAAATTTGGATTATTTGTCATTTACAGATAAAAAATTATATCTGTCTAGTTCTTTTACTGTTGCTGTAAATTTGAATTATTCTCTTAATCTGTCTGCTATGGGCTCATGATTTAAGAATGTAGTAGCCTAGTTAACGGGTCAGTTGACCCATTGTGTTCGAACTCGAATGACACGTTCTTCAGCCCATTTCATGCAGTTTGTTTATGAATCTGTCCATCCCTATTCGTCACACTAACAGTGTTAGGGTAAATGTCAAAACAAAAAAAAGTGTGTTAATGTATATTTTTCTTTGTTTCTAAGCAGATATCCTAATGAAGAAAGATTCCAAACAAATATCACAGTCTTTGTCGTTGTGAATATCATTTTTATATTACGCACTAACCAGTAGGATTTAAATCCCGATTTCATGAGATATTAACTTATATAACTACAATCAATCGGTGTTTTTGTCAATATTATTATCAATGATATCTGAAATCTTTGCTCTATTTAGGGGAGATGATATTTATTTCTTTTGAAAACAAAATTGATGGTCTACTTCATTTAGCCTATAAAGGGAAAATCACAAGTTATACAAAAGAAATTTGTAAACTTGTGATCAGTTTTCTTTCCGCTGCATCCATTTTGGCCGGGTTAAAAAGCTATAAAGATCTAAAATGATGATTCCGTCTCAATAATAATTCGATCCATTGTAAAAGTTAGGGGCCAAAAAGGAGCAATTTTAAAAGAAAGGGATATATAGTGAGATTAAATAAGACTAAGACAGCTAGACACGTGTGGTAATTATGCTCACCACTAATCCCATTTGATTAGCAATCATTCTTTCCATTGGATCCATTCCCGATCCTCGATTAGCCTCACAAATCACAATTACTTATATTCTAAGTATTTTTTTTCTACATCAAAATCTAGCGTTTGGATGTGTGGTTCTGCTGGACAAGGGCATGGTTAAATGTATTTTCAAGTTCCAATTAACAGCTATACAATATAGTCGGACAAAACATGAAAACTTAGAATTATCATTGTATCGATATTATTTTTGCATCAAATAGACGGAAAAAAGGACCAGGATGTATTATTCATTGTTCTAGTTGCTGCAATCATCATGGTTGAAATAATTATTAATGATAATAGTAGTTTTTGCTTTTCTTTGTAAAAAACCATCATTGTCGTCGCTTCTATGATCAATTTTTAAAAACTCTATTCCCTCTTTATGTACCCTCTTTCTTGCATATTATCGGGGTCAAAATATAATTAATAATCTCAAAGTGGGCCTACCCCGCTCGTGTAGTGCTCAGTAGATATGGCCCATAAGCCTAACGATAAAATGAGGCCCATTAAAATACAATCCACGCTCGCCGAAAACAGTAACAGTCACAAGCAGGTGACATACACTTCGTCACCAACCAATCATAGTCACACCTAAGGCTTTGTCCCCGACATTCGTAGCTCAATTATTGCCTGCGAGAGAAAATCCCATAAAATAAATAAATGAAAAGGGAACTTAAAAAAAAAAAAACTCTATTTAAAGAGTGGAAGAAAGAAGCTAAAGGAAACTGTGAGAAAAAGAAGTGAAAAAAAAATGGCGGCAGAGAAAATAGAGACAGTAATCGCAGGGAATTACTTAGAAATGGAGAGAGAAGAAGAAATCAGAAGTAATAAAAATTCTTCAGCTAAAACAAAACTCTCTAATTTTTTCTGGCATGGAGGTTCTGTCTACGATGCTTGGTTTAGCTGCGCTTCAAATCAGGTATGTATATACATAATCTTTACATATAGTTTGTATGTATCGTCGTCTCAAATATTAAACTGTATTAATTAATAATGACAGGTGGCACAAGTACTGTTGACTCTACCATACTCATTCTCACAACTTGGGATGATGTCGGGAATTTTGTTTCAACTCTTTTATGGATTAATGGGAAGTTGGACTGCTTATCTCATCAGTGTTCTCTACGTTGAATATCGAACTCGTAAAGAGCGAGAAAAATTCGATTTCCGTAACCACGTTATTCAGGTTTATTTCACACCTTTAAATTTGTTAATTACAATTATAACTTTTGGTTATGTTAATTTCTTGCTTTTATTTCTTTAAAAAGTGGTTCGAGGTGTTGGATGGATTGCTCGGAAAACACTGGAGGAATATTGGATTGATTTTCAACTGCACTTTTCTTCTCTTTGGATCCGTTATTCAACTCATTGCTTGTGCCAGGTTAATTTAATAACATATACATTCACTTTAATTTGCTTTATTATCTTTGTTGAAAATATTGGGAAATTTATTTATATATGATTAATTAATTGCAGCAATATATATTACATTAACGACAAATTGGACAAGAGGACATGGACATACATATTTGGGGCGTGTTGTGCAACAACTGTTTTTATTCCTTCGTTCCATAATTATAGAATTTGGTCATTTCTTGGACTCGCTATGACTACTTACACTTCTTGGTATCTCACCATTGCTTCCCTACTTCACGGCCAGGTAATTTCTTTAACCCAAAAGAAAACTTGTTTTGTTTAATTAGTATAATATATTGTCGTGGTTAATAATTGTTATGTATTTTTAACCTTGTTAATAAAAATAAAGGCTGAGGATGTGACACACTCGGGTCCAACCACAATGGTTCTCTACTTCACCGGAGCCACCAACATTCTCTACACCTTCGGTGGTCACGCCGTCACCGTGTAAGCAATTTTTATTTTTACGAGGAAAATAAAACTTAAAAAGTTGCTCATCAATGTTTTATTAATTAATACTATATACGTATTGAAAAAAAAATGTAATTAGGGAGATAATGCATGCGATGTGGAAACCGCAAAAGTTCAAGGCAATATATCTACTAGCGACTATATACGTATTAACGCTAACGCTACCTTCTGCGTCTGCGGTTTATTGGGCGTTTGGCGATCAATTGTTAACTCATTCCAACGCACTCTCTCTCCTTCCTAAGTCCGGTTTTAGAGACACCGCAGTGATCTTAATGCTTATCCATCAGTTTATAACGTTTGGATTTGCGTCCACACCGTTATATTTTGTATGGGAGAAGTTGATAGGTGTGCATGAGACGAAAAGCATGTTCAAAAGAGCCATGGCTAGGTTACCTGTGGTCGTACCCATATGGTTCTTAGCCATTATCTTCCCCTTTTTCGGACCAATCAATTCTGCGGTCGGATCTCTCCTAGTCAGCTTCACTGTCTACATCATCCCTGCTTTGGCTCATATGCTTACTTTTGCTCCTGCCCCATCTAGAGAGGTTAGATCTTTTTTCCTTCTTCCACACATATATAATTGTATAATTATCTTCTTTTTTTTCATAAGAAACATGCACTATTAATTAAGACATAAAAAAAAAAGCAATTGGTTACTAGTGAATTTTGTTAAGTGGTTTTTTTTTTCTTAGACTGTCAAGTGGTTTTATTTTGTGCATGTGAGAATAATTTTTTTTGGGGATAATTATATATATCTTAGAGCAATAAAATATTTTTAGGTTGTGTGAAAATTGTCAGAACGACTTTTATAATACATCTAATTATTGAGTTTCTTGTTGGCTAAATCATCATCTACTTAATTATTGTTACTTTTGATTAATATATCGTTAACAGAACGCAGTGGAGAGACCGCCGCGAGTGGTGGGAGGATGGATGGGGACTTATTGCATAAACATATTTGTGGTGGTTTGGGTGTTCGTCGTTGGGTTTGGGTTCGGAGGATGGGCAAGTATGGTCAATTTTGTTCGCCAGATCGACACTTTTGGTCTATTCACCAAATGTTACCAATGCCCACCTCACAAGCATTGATATTTACGTATTTAACCATTCAAGACCTTCTAGACAAGAGTTTCATCTCAGAGGTTTTTGTTTCAGGATCGAATATTATATCCATGCTATTATAATTTATTGAAAATCACATCTCTTTGTATTTGTTTGACGACAAATAATCTTTTACTTCGGTTTTTTTTTTGATTTGTTATGTTCAGTTGTACTTAGTAGATTTCGGGGAGGGGGTATTCCTTAGTTAAGGTGTGATGGCTATATCTTATGCCAACCATGTTATTATTAATTAGTGTTCTTCCCATAGATACTGTGTGTGTTTGTATGTGGTCTCTTTATTTTTCTACTACCAGAAATATAAAATTCCAGAAATTTCCTCTGCTTTCTTGGATTTTTTTTTTCACTTAAAGAGACTAATTAAATTTCATTATTCGTTATGAACACTAAGCTATTGATGAAAATTAAAAACAAATCCTGCAATCAATCAGTGCAATTATGGATATGGATCATTTAACTAATAAGTTTTTATCCTATAATGTGCATATGTTAAATAATATAGAAATTTACTGGCTTTGTTAGAGAATTTCTTAATTTCTTTAACAAATGCAACAAGTTATCGTCGAAGCATTCAAGTATAGATCTAACATTTTTTTTTTTGAAAAAGACTATGGATCTAACATCTAATTTTCTGTTTCTGAATGCGAGTGATCGCGAAATATTTCCATCATGGGCAAATTAGCATCACATCAAAAAAGGAAAAAAAAAGAGAAAAACAAATGAAAGGCGATTATTCGAAAAAAAAAGTTTCTGACTAAAAATAAGAGAAAAAGAGGCAAAAAGGCTATGGCAGGCTGTCAGTGTATTAGGACTTATATGAGTTGGGGAGCCTTTTC